TCCCTGGAAGAACTAAAAAAGAAGAATTAAAAAAGAATAACTGAAAATAACAATTGTATTAAGGAAAAAACCTGAAATGAAATACAAATAAAAATAAAACATTTCAATAAATAATAAAAACGTTTCCATTGTTAGTATCCACAAACGTCTTCGGGTAACGACTGGACTTATTCCTTTTTATGGATCATTCGAGTACTTTCATTTATCTCCTCTTTCATTTTTCGGCTTTACCGGTTTAGTGGGGGATGACCATATGTTGCATATATTTACGCTAGCTTGGCTGAATACATTGTTGTAAAACATGTATGTCGCTTCTTTGAATTTCCTCCTAAACCAATGTTCCCCCCAGTGTATAATCTCAGCTTGGGACCACTCGATGTTATGTTGATGGGTCCAAACATGCTCTGCTATTCCTGATTTGCTGGTTTCCCCTCGCTGTGTGTGTTTCTTGTACTCGACAATATGAACATTCAATGGCCTCTTAGTATCACCAATATAGGATTTTCCGCACTCAAAGGAAATCCGGTAAATGCAATTCTTGGAATCGCAGTCCGCGTTTGGTGGCCTGGTTTTCGTGAGGCTGCTACGGATAGTGTTACCGGATCTGAAGCAGGTTCTGATGTTGTACTTGGAACCAATTCTTCTTATTCTCTCCGATAATCCTCTGATGTAGGGAAGTGCAAGCACTGATTGTGACGGCTTCTCTTCCTTGCGAGGTTCCTGCTATCTTTTAGCCAAAGTCTGTTCTACCATCGCTTTGGTTGGAGTAGCCATTCCGGTGAAGATCATTACAGAGCCCGAAAGCAAGGTCTAATAGGGTCTTGATGATTCCTCTTTTAGTCGATTGATGGTGGTTGGATTCGTGGTTCAGAGTTTTCGGGATACAGATGTTTTCCCCTTAGTGTCGATTCTCTTCACCACGCTGTTGATGTATTTCAAGAAGGTGTCAACTTATTTCAACCAGACACGAGGTTTCTTGTGGGCTTGTTCAATGGCCATAGTTTCAAACCACTCCATATATATGTTGGCTGTGACTGGTGAAAGTGGCGATCCCATTGGAATTAAAGACATGCTACTTATAAATTTTAAAAAAATGTCCACTGTTTGCCCTTCACTACCCTGATTTCTATTGATTCACTTGTTTGTTTACTTTAGTTGTTGTTTACTTCTCAAATTGCGGAAAGTTGAAGAACCCAAAAAAACAGAAATGAACATGGACTCCTGCACATAAAGAAACATTACGAGAATATTACTTTTCCATGTTATGAAAGGTATGAATTTTCATCCATTTTTATAATTTACCACCTGTCACGACTTCTGCTGCAATGCCAACTGAAAAAACTGATGATATAGTGAAGTCAGCCGTTATTTACATGAACCTGAACGTGAACCACCCCTACAAAACCGCATCCATCCGTCGAAACCAACCCCTATCGTCGGTTGACGCAATATCGAACGACTTCAAATAAATCATTCGTTTTCCATTTCTTGATTTCTGGTTGTTTGACCTGAGGGTATATTAATCTGTAAGTTAATTTCCGGCTTTGTTTTTTGACTAACTTCTGGATAGTATCTGCGTTGAAACCATTATTATGACCTATCTGTGTAATTATATCAATTTTCCTAGCTAGATTGTTAGCAGACAAAGGCAGTGGGAATGTTTTGTGCAACATTGAATTGTAGGCTGCTAATTTATGACTGTCTGTGGGACAATGTGGTCGAAATTTCCAAAAACGGTATGCTGAACATGAAAGGTCCTTCAGACTAGGAAAAAATTCATTCATTCCTTGACATGCAACCACAAGTTCCCGAATCTGAACGATACGGAAATTTTGCACTATGCAAGGAAGGGTTACAAACTCAATTATTGAGAATCCTTGGAAATTGACAAGCATAAACATTGCGCAACCTGTTAAATGATCAAATCCATTTCGTTTACTCACCAGTTTTCAAATTAGCACATCCGCATTGTAAATTGTAAATTCAGGTACTCAATTATTACCTACAGGGGTGCCGTAAAAGGGCTAATATAATAAACCATTGTTAGTTTAATGTATAAGTTTGAAAATGTCCTTAGAGGACGAAACTGCAAAAACGTTAGTTACAAATAAAAGTGGTGAAAACATATAAAGTTTCAATTCTCTTCCCTTCATTAATTTTTTTCCTGATTACAGAAAATAGTATCGAGAGAGAATGTTGAGGTTCTAATGTGTGGGAAAACTGTTTTCAATAGATGAGACGGAAACATTTATTTTTTATAAGAGAATATTAAATATGAGTAGCAGATATTCCTTTGCGAAAAATGTAATAAATGTACGCAGTAACTTAATGGGGTGAACTAGGTGTTTGTCCTTTGTAACCTCTTCAAGATTATAGAGTACGATTACAATTTTTTCAGTTCGTGAAAATTGAAGACTCCCAAAATCAAAACGTCACCAGAAATGATTCTCGTTAATTTTTTGTTCACTCCAAAAATAAACCTTTCGCAGCATTTCATTGTAGCGTTTAGTTTGTCTTGCTTTTATTTTCTATAATTTTTTAAATAAATACAAGAGAAGTCAGCTCATACAGGACATCATTCGAATACTTTTATGTATAGTTAGTTGACAGCTCCCACTTAATGGGGAATTTTAAATACCCCAACTTTCTTTTGTCCGATGACTGATGTGTATTCGATTGGTCAAACCAAGCACGATTCTTTTCAAGGATGAGGCTTCAGTTCCATATTTTTTCCTGCGAAGGCAGGTGGTTGTGAAGGGACACAGTTTTTGGATTTGTATTCTTCTTCCTGTTGAAGTTGATAATTGCCCTTCCTGAATTGAGTAGAATAATATTCTGACTATTTTGTAAATATGCCCTGGAAAGTCCAGTTTTTGGCTTAATCGAACCACGATGCTCCCGGTTGTTGATAGATAAACCGTTGCCTGCCCTCTTTAGAGGGTTGTAGGATGACATCAGACGAATAAGTAGTTCATGTTGAAAATGCTATTGAAAATACTGTTGCTATTACGTCCAACTCGGCTAGTGGCTAGAAGTACAGATCTTTCTGATCTTTTCCTTTTCTTCAATTGTGGGGGAAACATTCTTGGTGGTGTCCAGCTAAATAGTGTACTACAGAAATTTTACTGTTATGTGAAGACGACCAATAAGGCCAGAACTTATGATTTATTTCAACTCATGATGTTATTCTGAACCTATTTAAAAAATTTATAAAAAAATCTGTGGGTGGTGTGCTCTCTGGCCAAAAGCTGCCGTTCGCAGTAGAAATTTTCCGTCTCCTGGCTCTTCATTCTTTTTAACTCCTGTTACATGTGATGGAGTACAAAAAATCATTACATCTTTGAAAAATTCAGCTTGTCCGGATATCAATGGAATAAATAGTCGAATATCATTAAAAAAACTCAGGATATTATTCTTGTCCCATTTACCAATTTGATAAATCTAATCTTTGAATCAGGTAATTTTCCCAACATCTTCAAATATTCAAAAGTGATACCTCTTCACAAGAAAGGTAACAAAGAGATTGTCGATAACTACAGACCTATTTCTATTATAAATATCTCTTCAAAAATCATTGAAAAATTAATTAAGAAAAGACTCACCAAATATTTCGAAATCAACAAATTTTTTTGCAGTCATCAATTTGGTTTTTGTGAAAACTGCTCTACCACCGATGCTACTATGTGTGTTGCCAGAGGCATAGTTGAGGGACATGAATCCGGGAAGGTTGTGGAGGTCACACTATTGGACCTGTCAAAGGCCTTTGACTGTTTTCCGCAGCATTTTACTCGAAAAACTGTTATATTATGGTGTAAGAGGTACTCCTTTGGGTTTGATTGAAACTTATCTGAATAATCGTTTTCAGAGAGTTTTTTATGACAATACATATTCTGAGCTGAGACCGATTGACCTAGGTGTACCGCAGGAATCGGTTTTGGACCCGCTTCTGTTCGTTATTTACATCAACGATTTTTACAACTATATGAAGCCATGTCACAGTGTGTCAAATTATTGGGTTTTACTCTGGATAATAGGCTAAATTGGTCAAACCACGTTTCAAGTTCGAAAAGTAAGATATCGAGTGCTTTATTTTTACTTGGACAGCTGACAACAATAACAAAGTTCACTACGTTGAAAATAGTACTTTGCTCGCTCATACAGTCTCACATTTCTTACGGTAGTCTAACTTTGGGAAAATTCTAGTGATGCCCAGTACATTTTTATATTACAGAAAAAAGCTCTGAGAATTCTTGCTGGAATCGGTTCTGTGGATTCTTGCCGTGAATCATTCATCACTCATCATATTATGTCGGTGCCTTCTTTGTATGTTCACTCAAGCCTATTAGATATTCACAAAAGGGCCCCCTTGTTTCCCAAGCAATCCAGTTTACACAATCATGATACACGTAACAGCAATTTTATTAGACCTCAACGTTTGAGGCTGATGAAATCACAAAAAACTCCTATGATTTTAAATTGTATAATGCACTTCCTGCCAATATTAAAAATAAGAATATGTTTTGTTTTAATTCCACTTCAGAATATTTAGAACATGTGCGTAGACACACTTTTGAAGCAAGGAAAATGCTCGCCGAACCTCTACACTTAATTTGTTAATACACACATTGGAAAAGTCTAGGGATATTTTTGAAAATGGCAATAATTTTTTTTAGATCGCTTTNTTATAGAAAACTTTGTACCTTGCATCTATTTGTTTTTCTGACTTGTCATAAATGTATTTTATACATAACATGATCAAATAAATATATCTATCTATCTATCTATTTTTTAATTTGCGATTTAAAACAGATTTTTAAACAGATCTATCTATGAATGTACAGCGGATTATTGAATTATAAATAATTTGATGTAACATCATGAATCGAAAAAACTGTCAAAACGTAAAATCACTCCTACACCCCGCCGCTACCCCTCGAAATCAACCCCCATCGTCGGTTGACACAATATCGAACGACACCAAATAAATTATTCAAACTCACCTACCACATGCGATCGCTTTCGAACTTCCCACTACGTAACCTGCACATTTATCGCGACGCCTCCACCAGATCCGTTCATGTCGCGACGCTTTCAACTACTGCGGACGCAGTATCTGAAACTGAAACGACACCTGAAAAAATGCGAAGGGCGCGCGCTGCAAACGTTTCTCTTGGTTTCTGCGGTTGACGGCCTCTCGTCAGGAGTGTCGGGAACCGTTTGCGTCACGGGGTGTCAGTTGTGGACGACGAGTTGGGTAACAGCTGCAAGAGCCCCAGTAGCGTATTTCATTCGAATGTTATACGAGGATGTCGAGTAGTATTTCTCAAAACGGGCGATAACGCCCCCTTGTGTGCGTTGGAGGTTTTTAGGGCAGTAAAGGACACAGAGAAGATTGGAGGGCGGCGGAACGTCATCTTCGTATCTTTCAGGCTTGGAGTCCAGCTCCCTTACCCTTTCGGCTGATTATTGGTCTCGAGAAGGACCAATGGGTACATGACTGACGGTATGGCGGCATGAAGTCCTCAGACATGGGATACCCCTACCTGGCTGGGGTGGGATGGATGAGAAAGCTATTCATCCGTTAACGGGGGACATGAGGGCCTCATTCGACAGAGTGTCGGGGCCTTCTATATCGGGAGGGGTCGTCTACAGCATAATCTGTGGCTTCCCTAACTAACGGGTTTTCGTGAGTTTCCGTACTTTCAAAAACTCGCTGATTCCTCGACTGAATGGACTGCCGAATGGAAGGCAGCTGCAAATCTCTGCGGATGGCTTCATTCCGCACGAACCAAGGAGCATTCACAATCATCCTAATTAACTTATTTTGTAGTCTTTCCAAAATGGAAATGTTGGACGGAGCCGCTTGTCCCCAGATGCCTGAAGCATACATGATGACAGGCTTGAACATCGTATTATATATGGTAATTTTGTTCTTTGTGCTCAGTTTGGATTTTCTGTTGACCAGAGGGTACAGACTAGCTATCCGACCTCCGATCTTTGACTTAACGCACATGATGTGCGGGTTCCAAGTGAGCCTAAGGCTGAGGTACTTTACCCGCGCTTGCCAGTCAATCTCCCTTCCAGAGATTCTCACTTTTCTGGCCGGAGAAGATAGTAATCTTCCCATGGTTATCGTCTGAGTCTTGTCCGGGTTTACTCGGATCTTCCAATCAAGGTACCAGCGCTCGAGGTCGTCCAATGCACGTTGCATGTAGACGACGCCAAGCTCTCGACCCATGGAAGATGAGAGAAGAGCCGTGTCGTCGGCGTTCAGGGATATATTCACACGCTGGGACCTAGGGAGGTCGCTGGTGTAGGCACTCCGGCGAGGATCTCTCTGTTATCAGACAGAGAGCCCTGTAGTCTGACCTGAAAAGTTCTGTCTTTCAGGAGAGACCCGATCAACCGTATCAGGCCCCGAGGTAGGTCGAACGCGTTTAACTTGTGCAGAAGGCCTTTGTGCCATACTAGTTCGAAGGCCTTCGAGATATCTAGCAGCACAATGTGCACTTTTTTATTTGCGTTATGCTCGCTGATGGTGTTTTCGACCAACCTCAGAGCCTGTAATTCAGTGGAGTGATCTCTCCTGAAGCCAAATTGTTCGTTAGGCAGAACATTTCGGTCCTCAACTTCTTCGATGAGTCTTTACAGAACAACTCTTTCAGCCAGCTTAGCCGCCGACGAGAGTAGACTGATCGGGCGATAGTTCTGCGGGAACAGCTGATTCTGACCCTGTTTCGGGATCATGACGACGATCGCATGCTTCCACCTTCTAGGGAAGTGTCTGAGGGCCAACGAACTGTTGATCAAGGTCAGAAGGAATTCAACGCAGTTTTCCGGGAGCCTCTTCAACAACTTGTTGGTTATTGAGTCGACCCCCAGGGCTTTCTTGGCCTTGATATAACCCTTCAGCTCTTCCATAGAAGCTGGACGGATATCGTCGTCGTCATCTTACTTGAGGAGTCGGTGAACCCGGTCTTCCAGCAGCATATCGCGATCGATGTCGTCATCGTCGACAACGTTAAGGTGAAACTGACGTTCCATCGTGTCTGCAGAGGCTAACGCCTTGTCGGCGGGGGAGTAGAACACTCCGCGCTCTCCGTGAATGGGTGAGAGAGCAGTCTTCTTCCCCTCTTCCCCCTGAGCCTGCGAGTGACTCGCCAAAGCTCGTCACTCCCAGGTTTGAATTATTCCAAAAGCTCTTCCCACCTTTCGTTTCGATGCTCAATGATGGCCTGTTTGACTTGGTTGGCCATCCTGTTCACCGCTGTTTTGTCCCCTGGGAAAAGGGTTCGTTGATAGAGCCTTCTCAAGCGATTCCTCCCTCGTATCAAGGCTTTGCTACGAGGGGGAAACTCGTTATAGCTCTTCAGCGGACACTCTTCCCTGGAGGTGGCCGCTCGAAACGTATCATTCACAGAAGGCTCGAAATGCTCAACTGCCGCGTCGAATTCGTCGGGAGAATCGAGTACCTCAGGAGGGACGCGCATCTCTTCGAGCTGGGCTGTGAAGACAAGATTGGAGGGCAATGTTTTTTTTTTACTTTTAACACAAAATTTTCCGCTCCTGTACGCTTAACGCGCGTTTCCTTGTGTAACGCCATCTAGGGGACTGAACAGTAACTATTTCCTGTCCGATAGTTGTTAAACTGTACAATAGATGGCGGTAAGCTTCAATGCGACGCGAGAAGTTTCTAGTCTCCATTCTCGAAAGTGCTGTACGTGCGGTGGTAAATACTGTGAGTGGTGTCATTAGCAAGTATTAAATACGCGAGTAATAAATACTCGATTCTTTGCATCGGCATTTTTTAAGACAAAATTATATCGGAAGCAAAAGAGAAGAAACGGCAGTATAGCGCGGAATATATGAAATATGGATTTATTGAAAATCCCACAAATCCATTTTCACGCCTATGTTCCTTCTTTGTCAAAAAACATTTTCGAATGAAGCGATGAGACCCTCAAGGCTACAAGATCACTTTAATAAAATGCATTCAGATAGAAAAGAACCGTGTAAAAACTTTTTTCTGCGGCTTCTAAGCAAGACGACGACGGACTCGGAGCTTCCTACAATATCTCCTTGCTAATTACTCAAACAGGTAAACCTCACACTATTGGAGAGGATTTAATTTTACCGGCAATAAACGAGTAATAACTACTGTGCTTCATAAACCAGCGGTAGATATCCGAAAAGTTCCTTTGTGCAATAGTTCCGTGCAAAGACGAATTGATGAGATGGCTGAAAACATTGAAGAGTCATTGTGCAATCATCTGAAGACTTCTAAATTCTCAATTCAGTTAGATGAGTCCACTTTACCAACCAATGAAGAATTGTTGTTCGCATACGTGAGGTTTATTAAAAACGAGAATATATATCAAGAACTACTATTTGCCAGAAATTTACAGACGGATACAAAAGGAGAAACCATATATATTACACTGGAAAAATTTTGTGATGAGAAACAAATTCCACTGAAGAATATTATATCAACTACTACGGATGGCGCTCCGGCTATGACAGGACGTCACAAGGGCTTCATAGCGTACTCAAAAAATAAAATTCCAGATGTGCTCGCTGTACGTTGCGTCATTCATAGTCAACATTTGGTTGCGAAAAATTTGAGTGAGCGTCTCTCTCAATCACTGCAATATAATCATCAAACCAATCAATAAAATCCGAAACAGCTCTTTAAATGACAGATTATTCAATCAGCTTTGTATTGCTAATGATGAAGATTGCAACCGATTGCTATTCCACACAGAAGTGCGTTGGTTATCAAGAGGTATCGGTCTGACTCGATTTCACAATCTATTTAACTCTGTAAAAGAGTTCTTGGAAAACAACATTGCACAACAACCTCAAAACTTCAAAGAATTATACTCGTATTGCGTACTTGGCAGACCTGTATAAATTATTTAATGATGTCAATCTTCAACTTCAAGGTGACGACTTGAATTTGATTAAAACAAAAAATATCATTGCTGCTTTTGTAGCCAAATTCCTCTTATACAAGAATAATATCGGCAGACGTGAGTTTCGCAATTTCCCTAATTTGTCAGCAGTATCCTTCAACAACGACGACTTGCTTGTTTACTGCCAACATTTGGACAACCTCCACAGTGATTTCGCAGAATGATTCCAGGACATTTTAAAATTGGAAATACCTGACTGGGTGTTGGATATTAACAAACTTGTTAAAAATCATCAAATTCATCCTTCGCATTAGATTAGTTTTAAAATTCAAATTGAAATGTTTGTTTTAATAACATGAATAAAAGTTTTTCTAATATTACAAAATGGTGTGTTACATTGTCTCTTATTTTCACATGACACACATAATTTAATTATTAACATAACTGCGATTGTGATTCTTGAGATGTAGTAAAGTAAAAAAATTTGGGGGGCGCTAGAAAATAATTAATTCTCCAAGTAGACGGTAGACAAAATAACTTTGAGAACCTCTGATGGAGAGGGTGGTCCCAGCAGTACCCAGCCTGACCCAGAGATGGCGGTAGTTGTTTGAAAAGTATCACTGTTTTATAAAGTACACAATCTATAAAGCATATGTTTCAAGTTTGAAGACGCTGCGTTGTTTAGTATTTGTTTGGCAGCCATCAATAGTGAAAGTTTTCGGTGAATTTGTGAAAATGGAGAAAATTGGTCATCGTTATGTGGTTGAATACTTTTATTTGAAAGGCATCAGCCCAACCAATATAAAAACTGAACTGGGTTCTACTCTGCGTGAGTCTGCTCCTTCGTTTGCCACAGTAAAACATTGGGTGTTTAGAAAAATGACCATTGATATTTTCCGATTCCAGAGAGGGAGCCTGAGAATCAGCTATCAAGCCCAAGACAGCAAGGGCGCCTGTTAATAAAAAAAATACTTTTTTCAAATGAAGGAATACATGTAAAGTGAGTTCGAATTATATCCAGGTTACGTACAGCGCCATCTGCCCGCGAATAGATCAATCAATAATGTCGATAATTCTGTCAAATACAAATCCCGAGCATTTGAACGGGAATAAATATGAAATGAAAAGGAGAGTTACAAACAAACAAACATACATACATACAGGTGAAGCTAATAAAAACAACTTTCAGATTTGTATCAACGTCTTTGTCAAGTTCTATTGACTCGAATAAACATAGTTACAGCTTGTCAAATCTAAGAAGCGACTTCAAAGTCTCGGCATAGGACCTCCCCTAAGATGCTCGTTCGTTAGGAGACTGTGTGAGAGGGAGAATCGAATTCTCAAGCCTCTTCCTAGTTTTGACAAGATGTATTTGATAACTAATTTTACCGATCTTTTAAAATGGCTGATAAACTGCAGAACTTGCAATAAAACGCCCACAAGGGGGCGTTTAAGGGTGATGAGAGGAACAAAACGGAGGAGGTTTAGGGCGAAAAAAAACATCATTTATCAATGCTCAACATTTATATATATTCAGGTTTCAATTTACTTTCGATACATTCAATTAGCTCTAAAGCTGTCATGCAAAAGATTAAATACAGCATCGGTAGCGGTTTTTTTTTAATTTGAAATCAAACTATGACTGAAACTTAAAATATTTCACGACATGTCTTGCTAACACAGTAGCTTTATCAACAGTGATTTTAATACTACAAGTTGCTTCCCACACTAATATTCATATACTACAGGTTACCACAATTGAGACTACCACCAACAAATTACCTGCTAAACCTCTACCTGAGGTACCTCGTCAAGTATGATCATCTGAAGCATATTACCTCACTTCTACATCAATGATATTACTTTCTCGGTTTTTCTAAGAAAAAAATTCAATAACGGTAATCTATTCAAATCCACTTGGTCATTCATTAGAATGTTGAATTTTTAAGTGCATTGATTTCCATTGCTTCCAAATGATTCAGTTTCAAACCTTCATTTTCAATGTGTAAAATATTTCTAAAAAATGATTTGAATATGTAGAACTTGTTTTCTTATTTACATATCCCATATGATGTTCCTGGATTCGATTCCTGAATGTTCTGCCAGTTTGACCAATATATACCTTAGGACACGTTCCACACTTCAATTTATATACTCCTGATTTGTCGAATTTGGAGTATATAATTATAATTTATAATTTTCAACTAACTTTCCCAACGTATTAAAATTGCATATAGAACAAGTAATTCGTTGGGAAAGTTAGTTAAAAATAATAAAGACAAAACATCCAAATTCCAGCAATCAGGAGTATACAAATTAAAGTGTGGAACGTGTTTTCAGATATATATTAGTCAAACTGGCAGAACATTTAGGAATCGAATCCAGGAACATCATATGAGCTATGTAAATAAGAAAACAAGTTAAACATATTCAACTCATCTTTTAGAATAAACTCATATCTTTAACAAATAGTTCGAAATTTTACACATAGAAAATAAAGGTTTGAAACTGAATCATTTGGAAGCAATGGAAATTAACCCATCAAGTACTGGCGTTACCGTATGGTCACAGAAAACATAGGGTTTAATTTTCGCCAACTATATTGTAGGTTTCGCTAGATTTCGCTAGACGGCCATCGAGAAAATAGTAATGCTTCAAAAAATGGAACACATACGTTTTGAGTAGGTATTGATTGCTTGGTTAAAAAAATTCATTGGGGGTTAATTGCGTATTTATTTTCGGTAATATGTAAGTTTTTGTATGTGGTACTTTTTTTGTTATACATTTTAGGATTTTTTTGTGGTGAGGTACGTTTGGTTGGTGTTACCATATAGTAACGCTAGTCTGATACATTATCAAGTTTTAAGTACAGTGTCTCACTGCATTTTTTTTTCAGTCGCGAATTCTCATTGCAAGAGGCCTTGGATATGGCCTATTAGAGGATATTGACGCTATTTATGTTGAGCCACCCGGGGCTACTGTGTTGACAGATGAAGACTCCAGAGATGAGGATTCCGGGGGTACAATTGACAACCTTTCGGGGCGACTATTGCGAGCACAAGCTGAAGTTAGATTTGTCAACAAAGAAAACATGACTGCAGAGCCAGATCTTCCTACTTCCAGTAAACTAGCTTCAACTTCATCTCAACACCCAAATTCTAAGAAAAACTATACCTGGATTAGCGGTGATTTTCAAGCACAGACAAGAGATTTTCTCGAACCCGATTTCAAACAATATATCAAACACTATTAACCGGAAAAGCATACGAGTTATGATGAGAGTATGATAAGATACTACGGTAGACACCCTTGCAAGCAGTTTATTCGTGGCAAACCTATTCGGTTTGGTTATAAAATGTGGGCACTAAATACAACATCTGGGTATTTAATTGATTGTGACCTGTATCAAGGAAAAAATAACCAACGGTCAGAAATATATGAAAAAGAAATTGGGAAAGCTGTAGCACCATTTGTGACAATGCTAGATAGGCTAAGAGCCACAAAAGACAGGCCTTATGAACTTTACTTTGACTTTACTTTACTTTACTTTCACTGGTTTAAATCTTCTTCAACTCCTGAAGGAAAGAGGATATCAGAGCACTGGTACTGTTAGAGAAAACCGTATTCCCAAAAATTGTCCCATGTCGGACAAAAAAACTCTCACAAAAAAAGAAAGAGGTACATATGAATCGACTATTCAAAGAGAAACAGGAGTTATGCTAGTTAAATGGTAGATAACAACGTTGTCACTGTTGCATCAACTTGTCACAGTATTTTACCTCTATCTCAGGTAAAACTTTATAGTTCTGCCCAAAAAAAATTATGATGGTACCTCGTCCATTTTTGATTAGTGATTATAATGCGCACATGGGAGGTACAGATCTCATGGACGAAAACTTATCAAGATACCAGATAGGTATTCGCAGCAAAAAATGGTGGTGGTCCATTTTCACATGGTTTGTTGACGTCACGGTAACAAATGCCTGGCAAATACACAGGAAATCCGGTGGAAAGCTGACGCAACTCGAATTTCGAAGGGAAATTCACACATGCTACTCAAAAAGTTATGGAACCATCTCTAAGCCTAGTGGGCGACCTAGAACCTCAAGATTCAGTGTATCGTTGAACAGAGTTTCAGACGATATAAGATTTAATATTACTGGAGTTTTTCCCAACAACAAGATTTAATCTTCCTCTTTGAAGATGATCACTTGGTGATCGAAACATGTGTCGAGGTGTTAAAAATAACGATTTGGTGTTGGGAAAAAACTCCAGTAATATTCATTACTACACCAAAGGTTCCAAACAGTGCATCATAAGATATAAGATTTGATGAAATGAGCCATTTAGTTATTGAAACCTTGGAGAAAAAGAAAAAAGTTGCGCCGGCGAAGGCTGCTCATCAAGTGTCAGAACAATGTGTAATAAATGTAACGTGGGACTTAGCATTCCATGCTTTTATAGTTTTCATACAAAGTAAATTTTGTTTTTATTATTTTGATGCATTCTAGTTAGAATAATAATATTTTTGTTGAAGTTAATATTTGAAATAAATAGTATATGTCAAAGCCTAGCGTTACCGTATGGTAACGGTAATTTTCTCAAAAATGGTGCAAATTTCTGAGAAAAGTCATTCAAAAGAATTCTCAATTGAACATATTTTCGATTTCAAAACTGAAAAAATTTTAAAAATATAAACTCCGCCTTTGATGGGTTAATGCACTTAAAAATTCAAACATTCTAATGAATGACCAACTGGATTTGAAGAGATCACCATTATTGAACTTGTTTTCTTAGAAAAACCGAGAAAGAATAATTATTGATGTAGAAGTGAGGTAATATGCTTCAGGTGATCATAATTGAAGAGGTACCTCGGGTAGAGGTTTAGGTAATTTGTTGGTTGTAGCCTCAATTATGGTTACCTGTAGTATATGAATATTACTGTAAGAAGCAACTTGTGGTATTAAAATCACCGTTGATGAAGCTACTGTGTTAGCGAAACATGTCGTGACATATTTCTCAAATAAAGTTTGTGAAGATCAAATCGTGAGGCGTAGTTTATGAAACTTGAAACTCCATAATCTTTTTTATCCACCGCATCTGTAGACGAAACGTTATATGTTACAAAGTACTGCGTCATTCATCACCCAAAGCTGACAGTCATACATCTGCATTGTTGCGAAAGACTAATTTGAATCCTGTTCAATGACGTAGTTCACCAGTCAGGCCTTCTATCTAACTGCTCTGCTATACTCGTTATTTTGCGATTTTCCGACATGCTTTTAGGCATTAAAAGTTCGAACCTCAACCACTGAATAAGAAACTATGTCAACCATGTTTGAACAAATATAGGCTATTATCTTCATCCTCAATCTCTGGGCGGATAATTCAGTGGGGCCCCAGAGGACTGGTACATAGGCCTAGTCTGTCCGGTATAGAGTGAAGTAGGCGGGGGGGCAGGCTGATATTGTGGCTGGCTACGAACTGGATATCCTGCGGTAATGCTGCCACCTGAAAAGGAATTGAAATATAAAAAAGGAACTAAATATAATAATTCAACTAGGAAACCAACAAAATCGCAGATTGATGTAGTGCAAATTACGCGGAATGCAAATATACAATAGCTCAAGTTCACATTCAATTCAAATTTATTAACAAATGTACAATATCAAAAGAATGTCTATAAATACTAAAAAATTGTAATTACATGTATAATATTTCAACACAGTCTGCTAAGTGTAAACACTTGTGTTTACACTTAGTTTAGTTGAAAAATAAAGATAATGTTAAGTGTTAATAGATATTGTTCATGAAACAATATACAGTGTGTAACAACGAAAACTTAACAGAGCCGTTTTTGAATATAAAAAGTGAGATTTTTAAAAAAAGCTCGGACACGTCGATTTCTAATTAAAGGGGGACACCTTTCAGACTAATCAGATTTTTTGTAGTACGCACCCCCTCGGAGGAGTGCGTCCGACGACCCTTATTTAGATAGGGAAAGTAGGTCGAGTGGCACCTTCTTTTAAAAGTCTTTCGAATACCTTTACAACTCTGTTAAAAAAATTTTGCAACGATTAGTTTTCGAGATAATTTGAAGTTAAAATTGCCATGTTAATAATACAGATCACTCGTTAACTTGTTTGTCTAAATAAAAAAAAATTTCGAGCAGTTCTTCTTATCAGTTTTTTGTTAAATAAAATCCCTTTTTTAAAATCAATACCCACTCCTCTTCTTCCAGTTTTCATTAGTACATCGTTCGATTGTTTTGTTTAAACGGGCCGTGTATTGTTATTTGTTTAAAAATGCTTTACACTACTGCTGAAAGAGTTTCAGTTATTGCTTTATTTTTTGGCAACAACCAAAATGCTAATAGCCTTTAAGATGGACAATCTCTCTTTGGGAGTCATCCAGTCGTTGAAGGCAACTGAGCAAAAGGATTTGAATGGTCCGTACACTCCCACATCTAGCGGTTGAAGCTTGTGCGATGTATGCGGGGGAAATGAGAGCATGACTATACCATTGTCACGGCAGAAGTTTATTGATTTTACGGTTGTATGCGACTCATGATTGTCCAGCAACAGGAGTATTTTTTTTCGGTTGAACAGTGTGTGTGATTTCTAATATGTTCCAAAACACATAGGAACAAATCACCTGTCATCCAACCTGACGAATTACCCAAGTCTATGCTAGACGAAGGAGCTTTAATCAAGTAGTCATCTGGTTTACGCATTCTTGGAAAAATATACACTGGTGGTAGCAAAAGACGTACAAATGTTGTTAGTTCCCCTCTTTCAGCGGAAAGTCTGACTTACTTGCTTTTTGTCCTTGGTTGAAACCATTTCAACAGGTTTTAAAATGGTGGTTACCCTAGTTTCATCTATGTTGTAAATCTGTCCAGGAGTAAATTTGAATTTAGTTAATACTGACGTATAATTTTCGAAAAATTCTGATACGCTTCTTTTGTTGAAACCGTTAGCCTGTGCCAGACTTGTGCTCTATGGTTTCCTCAAAGTAATCGAATGCCAATACCCTAATTTGTGTATATGTAAACCCTAGTTCATATCTGAACATGTCTGGATATATTTCACTAATTCTATTTCCTGGTTATTTGTAAACACCTGGGACACACTACATTTGCTAAGATAAATATTTTTGTTTACATCAGAATCACTTTCGTTGCCGGAGACTTCATTGTATAGGGTTGCCAAACGCTCTTGTTAGTATTTTTTCTTCAATTTGCAAATTCTCGAATAAAGTGTATCCCTACTCAAATTAAAATTTCTTCTAGCTACCCTTTTTGACATTCTGTTATGTATCACTTCCTTAATTGCATTTCTCATGTCATTTTCATTTATTTTTATCCTGTTTGTCTTCTTCTTATACGTAATTTCTTTTCTCATGTAAGAATCGCTCACTAATAACCAAACTTCACAGACAGTGAAGTTATTTTGAGGGGATGGTTGAATGTGCCCCCCTTTCCCCTATACATGTTTATGTATATGTGTATTATTATAAATATCATTTTTTCTTTTTATATCATTTTCGTTCACACCATGTACTCAACTTCGTAACAATTATTAAAAACTATTTATTGATATAGATTATAATATTGAGAAATAACATATCTGTGAATACTGTTTCGGTCAGTCACGTTTGTATTCCTTCTAGGTAAATAAATGAATAAAAACAGAATTGCTGGAAGTGCTCAGGGACATACCAAAAAGTGCATATCAAAAGCACTTCAAGGATTGGAAAAAACTCTGACAATTATATCTGAGGGGGACTAATTTGAAGAAGACAAATGAAAATTCAACTTATTTTTTTAACAGGCAATCAAGTTGATGTGATTTCGCTGATTTCGCTGAAGCAGTTGATCGACTTGATAACATGATCCTTCTACAAAAACTCCACCAATTTGGTTTCCATAATTCAGCAGTATTTTACATTAAATCCTACTTACTTCAACGCAAACAGTTTATATCTTATAACAGCTACGATTCCTTTTATTACAATCCTTCATCTGGAGTACCTCAGGGGTCGAATCTCGGACCACTTCTGGTCTTATTATTTATTAATGACCTCAGTAATTATGTCGATTGTAATAAGTTATTTTTTGCAGATGATTAGAAAATATATTTACCTGTTGAAACTATTGAAGACTGTAATACACTGCAACGACAACAACGACTTGGTGTGAAGTTAACAAACTATATCACAATGCATCCAAATGTAAAGTAGTGTCTTATAGTAGGAAAATGTCAGTCATCGAGTACAATTATCGAGTAGATACCATTTCACTGTCACGAAGTAACTGAATTAAAGATCTTGGTGTATATCTTGATCAAAATTTGTCTTTTTCCAACCATATTAGATCAGAAATAAGTGAAGCATTGAGAGTTTATGGCTTTATAGTTTGCAAGTTTAGATCTTTATCAAACATATCTGCTCTATTTACTCTTTATGTAGCCTACTTAAGGTCAAAATTAGAATATGGCTCTGTTTTATGGTCTCCATTCTACAACTGCTATAATACATTAATTGAAAAAGTTCAAAGTCGTTTCCTAAAGTTTATTTACTTCAAATCTTATGGTATATATCCTCATAGAGGTATTCCATATGAATCTCTTACCATAACATTCAATATTGAAAGTCTTGAATTACGCAGAAAACTTGCTGGAATAATTTTTTTGTATAAATTACTATACAACAATGTGGATGCTATGGAGGTGTTATCTTTTATAAATTTATGTGTGCCTCATTTTAGAACTAGAAGTACAAAAACTTTTTACAGCTGACTGGCCAGAACCACTTTGTATCTCAAGTCACCTATCTTTACCATTTGCAATAATTTCAATTCAATTTCAAATTTGTGTGATATCAATTTTGATTCCCTAAAATATATTGTTGACACTGCATCTCAGTATTTCATGGATAATTTTTAATTTTCTGGTATTTCATTTTATTTTATTATAATTTTGTTATTCATTTTCCCAATTGTAGCTTTGTAATTATAAGGATCTATATCACTTTTTAACATACTTAGTTAACCCTGTAAATGGTTTTTAACTGTTGGGTAATAAAGGCTGTTATTATTATTATTAGTATTATTATTTTTATTACCAAAATAACTCAGAAGTCTGCTAAGTCTAAGCCTGCATCTTCGTATATATATTTTTGTAGATAGTTTGCGTAGGCAAAGTTATAATACAGAAACTCATGTAGTTCAGGCAGATACATACAGTATTTGAGATGTCTCTAGCTCCACATTAAACTAGTGTCAGTTTCAACACGTAAACAAGTATATCAAAAAAACATTCATTCGTATTTTCAAGACTTTTCAGTACTCTTCAAGTTAAATTCGCTTTTTGTGGTTTCCACGTCTTTATTCCCAAACTTCACTTATTCTGCAAGAGATCTTATCTTCCCACTCAACTGAAGAGACTTGATACCACTATTACTATACTCTGTCCATCTAAGCACCAGAATGCTCCAAAACATTATCATGCATAGTGCACGAGATCTCCCAGACAAGGCTGCTTGTACAGAGTCGCACTAAGGAACGAGCGAATTTTTATTTTTTAATAATATGCGGCTGGGTATAGGAAATTTCTTCAGCTAGACTGTAAAGACACAAATTAGCAGTTTCTTCAGCCAAATCAGTATTTTACCCTCTAATTGCGAAAGTGTGTGGTGATCATGCTTTTCTCACGCATCTATCTTTGTTTGGGTTTGTTGGATGGATATAGTTTAGTATTATAGACCATACCTTTTGGTGGTGTCTGCTGGTTGATCGCCATTGAACTTGGATGTATCACGTGGCCGTGTGAAGAAGGAGTTCTGATGGTATAATGTTCAGGCATCTTCGTCTCCAAGTGGAAAGTTTGGGGTCTTGGAGTTTCGTATACGTTCCGGGCAGGCTCTCTAGCTAACGGGTAGTAGATGGACAATTCTTGAGGAGCCACTGGATAGAAAGCTGTGCCCGGCTGATTGCCATATTGGGGAGTTTCTGGAACGAGAGAGAGTGAAACAATGGGTTTCTAAGAAAATAAATAAATACTCTTACACATTGGGTGAGTCAGTGCAACTAAGTTTCGAATAGTCAGCGAATAAACAATATCATTGTTATGCAATACAAAGTAGACAATTTTATTTGCCTGCTCTTCCCAGTGTAGAACATATAAACCGATTGAACTAGTCGTTTACAGGGATTCGAACTACAGCAGCCCCGAAATATTTTCTCTTACTTCATTATATGCTCCAAGTAGGATAAGATTGAAATAAATTCAGTTAACTAGTTTAGTGATCCAATAATTATTCTGAAAAAAGGTTGGTTGGGTAATAGGATCAATTTTTTCTTAAAAAAAACAATTGTTTTCTTGCCAACGTTTCTAATTTAATCAAATTCTTCTTCAGGGCTCTGTAACAATGAATCTTCATAAACATACCTTCCACAAAACGTATACGATCATTATCGTTTCAATTTCGCAAGAAATAATGAGTTCTTAATTAAATTACTCACTGAAAAGTAGTTTTTTCGTGTTGATAACATTTTTATTTTGAAAACCATCAGACATATTAGATACAATTAAAAAAAAACATTGCAACAACCAGATTTCCGAGACAACACCAACACAAAACGACATGGCTTTATCTGTGATTCTAATAAAGTGGTGTCTGTTTTATTAACTAATGGAGGAAAGAAAAACAATTAAAAAAAGGGTAAATTATTAAGGTATTTTACTTATCAAATTGAAATATGCAGTATTTAGGTTATCGACATCTCTTCTAGTGTTAACACTATCACATTTAAGGATATGTATCATTTTGCTCAAAAGTCTATTGGATAAATATGGTTGAACATCTAGAATAGTTGGATGATCAAATTCATAAATGTTCATGTTCATGTTCAACGGGACTTGTGGGGTTTTTTATATTCAGTTTCACGAGTTTCAGAACTCTCATGTGTTCTGAAACTCGTGTTTTAAAATACTGACCGATTTGACCAACATATCATTTGTGACAGCTTCCACTGTTCAATTTGTATGCTATATTGGATTGTATTTCTTGTGACGTTTTTGTTTCAAGAAAAAATGCTTTCCAACTGTATAAATACTTTTATTCCATTGTTATTGTGAAAAATTCAATAACATATACCTACTCTTTTCTGTCACAAAATATAATACAATACTGGAAGCGACAAGCAACATTGTAAACTATGTTGCTTATCATTGTTCAAAAACTAATTTGAAAAATTATATTATAAAATTACTGAAAATTCATAACAAATTTTATAGAGTAACCAAAAAGTATAAAACAAATCCTATACAAATATTCACTTATTCTATTCTATTCTATTAAGCTGTATTCATCTTTAATACATGTTCATATTATTCTATGGCCTCAACATAACATTATTTTACTCATGTTATTAATGAAAATTAATAACACTATCAATGACAATACTCATAGTTATACGATTTTCACAATGAATGTTAATTAAGACGTGATTCGCTACACAGTAGCTTCATCAACAAGTAGGAATCTCATATTGAACAAGTAATTTAGAAATATTTTAATCATTGTCATTTTATGAAAGCAAGTTCAAGAATGATTGAATTACTTCTTGTCGGTCGTGTGAAAGAGTTTGAATGTTTGCATTTATTGATTTCTAGATTCCAGCAGCAGGTTTAATTTTTGTATTTTTTTTTTCTGTATACATGTCATAGTCCAAGTTGACATAGTGGTTGTTCTCTAAAAGGTTGTAAACATACGTGGAATTGGTTTTCTTTAGTCAAAAACTTCTTTAGTGTTCAGATATTCCTATAGAAACTTTCGAGCACGATTCTCATGTTAGTCTGTAGGCCACTGATTTGTTCTTTGTTCATTTTTGACTTGTTGTTTTTCATTTATCTAGCCAGAGAGTTATCAGTCTATACTACATTGAGGTCCTCTTTTGTAATTCGTCTTTTTATTTTATCTGATGATTTTCTTGCATTTGTATGTGTTCTGTATGAGTCAGTATCATTTTTAATGAGAGGGTTACTTGTAATACAGAAGTATTTAGTTTATTGTCCCAATTAATATAAACCAATAAAATTTGATCAAGATCATAAAGTATTCTCTTCAGACGATAAACAAAATATGTTATTTCATCAAAAGTTCATTTATAATACATAAATAGCTTATATCTTTAATGGCCTTATAAACATTGTTTACAGCTGAGCATTTTTGACTCACCCGGTATAAGTAGCCTGCTGTAGAAAAATATATATAAAAAAATTAAACACCTTCACCACAATTGATTTTGATGTTTTTTCGAATCTTTTTTACTGCATAAACTTTATTATATTGAAGACTAAAATTGAATAGTAGATTGAAGTTGATAAATTAATATGCTAATTCCAAGGCGAATTCTGAAGTAATGCCAGTTTTAGTCAGTGTGAATCAACCGAGAATTTTTTCATTGAAACAAAAATATCTGAGTCAATTTCAATAATCCCCGTTCAATTTACATTCAATCTAAAAATTCGTTTACGTTTTGTCGAAAAATCTGCTATCTGAAATTATATCATGAGTGCTATTCCGTTCAAAAAAATACTATGGAGTAAACTCTGCTTAGTATGATAACCAGTCTTTAATCTCTCTCCATCATGGTAAATTTTAAATGAAACTTGTTCAATAGAAATGAATACCCACAAAAGTTAAGATCGATCCCTCCGTTGAAGATTCTTCAAAATGAACTGATTCACATATTTACTTTAGTGAAAGATTTTTTTCTGTGCTATTCGAGAGTCCAAACACAACGCATTTATGATCAAACATCAACAATCTTGGTTTCGATCCACCATAGGTCTCATCAGTGGTGCTAAACCCAACCACAAAAACATGGAATCGACAGAGAACTCAATCCTGAATTCCTTGCTGATCCAATAGATGGGACTTTGTATCCTCGTCCTCACAATTGAACTTATTTTTTGTCTTACTGTTTTGGTTTTGATATCATTTGATACTTTAGTTGCAACATTCAATGGATTTTTTTCTGTACTTGAGAAATATCAACTAGAACCTGGCATTACTTCAATCTCATGCAAGTGAATAAGCGACATTAAAAAGAAAAAAAACCACCAACGCAATTAGAAAAAAGTACATGTAAAGAAAAGCACAGTTTAGAAATATCTCATCCTCATGCAAAACCAGCAGAAAGTGTCGTAAAAAACACTCACTGTTCCACAGCACTGCTCGAACTAATTCATTACGTCTACCGTCATCTTCTGCAAACAAAGAAGAGAGTATAATATCAATCAACTACATGCTGGACTAAATCGTACTGTCACCAAGATTGCATTTCGAAAGGTATGTGAAATTCCAACATTGATCTGAATATTTCATTCAAACTGCAATCTAAAAGTAAAAACTCAATGTAGGGAACCTCACTAGAAACAGAATTCACAATTTACTCTCAGATTTGAATTGTATAACTGGATAGAGCAATCTCTAATTTGGTATTGATTTTGAGATGTGAATATAAAAGCAATATTTTTTATGAAAAGCTTGACAACAAGTATTGTGTAAAAACAATTCATGGTTTTTGAATCACGATAATGCATCTGCTCAGTCATCATTGCTTGTTCGCCAAAATCATGTCTCTGCCAGCGTATTCACCAGACATGGCCCCCTGCGACTTTTTCCTGATCCCAAGATTGGAGAGGCCCATGAAAGGACAGCTTTTTACGACGATTGAGGAGAGCTCAAAGACATACCAAAAAGTACATATCAGAACTGCTTGGAAGAGGACCAAATAGAAATTGCTGAATAAAAAAATAATTTTTCAGAAGAATGAAAATTCACCTCATTTTTCGAGCATACCTCGTGAAGCAATCAAAGTATACAATTCTCTAACAGATTATCTTAGGTCCATTTGGGGGGTGCTTGCTTATTCAAAGTTAAAGTCAACTACTTTTTGCTGAATATCTGATTTTTATTCAACTGAGAAATATCACTCTTAATTACAATACAAATCATGGAACTATAAAACAACAACAAAAATTAATTGGCGCTCCGGGGCGATTTCATTGGTTCCAGTAGGGCATTTGCTTTTTCAGCTGCAGAAAAACCCAGAAAAACCTGCAGCACCACATCATCTGAAGATCTTCTCAAACCAGTCCGTTTCGTCTTTGATCAATGCATATTAATGACCAGATTTCACGCCAGAACCACAGTGAACAATAACTTCATGAAAATTATAATGGTGGTCTGCTAGATTGAAGTGTTCTTTCATTTTGAACATTCGTAAGAGTTTGATGCTTCTGTCAGAGGTTGAGTCATGTTTGAAGATCATCAGTGTCAGTTACTTTGGCGCATGTTTGGCAGTACAGTTGATCAATCACCCGTTAAAAGTTCCATTTTCAGATGATTCAACAATAAGCTTTGCACGGACTGACTATTAGTCATATTAGGAAACGCTAGTTGAAGTTCCAGAAATTCACATATGTTTTTGTTACTTCTTGAACATTTACTACAGAATAAACAACTGAGGATTTTTCCAGCAAAAGATTTACAAACACAAGACGAGATAGACTATACGGAATCATTCAATCCAGAGTGGTCAGGAGTATTGCTTCTATTGTTTTGCTCAGGAAGAGAATTCAACCAGAATCCCAATAATTCGGAAGAATCCTCTCGTTGTTGCAACAAGCATTTAGTAGATTTCAGACTCTAGGAAATCGGTTGGAGGGAAAGATGACACATTCTTACCAAACTGCAGCTGCATGAACAGGTGTTTGAGTTTGGTGAATGGATAGGAAATATTCTCGTTCTCGTTCATCATTAAAACCTCGTTTTCGAAATTCTTCGTCATGAACAACACTTGTAAAATGCTATTCATGTAGCAAGTGTTTCCTAAATTATCTAATCCAATTTTCTCCTCAAGATTTTCAAGACAACTATCTACTGATTCTTAAGGAAGAACATGTTTCACAGAATCTGCATAAGAACCATTTCTCAAGCTGATTACAATTAGCCGGATAATGCACTTTCTGATTATTTTTTTTTGTTTTGTTCTTGTCTGTTTTTACCTTTAATCATGAACCTCTAAATGTACAATGCAATGAGTTAGGATTTATTTATTTATATGCATCATGTATACTGGACCACGTCAATATCCACTTGGATCTAATGACAGTAAACATTATCATTATTATTTGTCCATTGGTGATTGAAAAAAAACCTGAAGATTCTACACTATGTTACTCTACACTCTACACTATTTACAGCTTTTCAAATTCTCATGATGAAACATAGTTTCTCGTCACATCCTGATGTTTTTATGGAAAGATCGGGTTTGTTCTATATTTACATCTCAAAACCAAATGACTAAAAAATAAGAAATGCATTTCCATCACAAACTTTACGGGAACTTATCCTGCATAAAAAAGTTGTTGAAATCTTATACCACAAACTCTACATCTCAAAATGTACTTACTCTGAGGAGATCCTTGGTAGGTAGATGTAACGACAGTTGGTGGTTTGTACCCGTACCCGTGGTACATAGAAACTGGTACCTGAGGTGGAGGACTAGGAGTTCTGGTTCTCTTTGTAGTCTTGAAAGCACTCTGTTGCATCGGGGCTTGTTGCTGTGGCATGGGAGCCAGTCTAGATGATTGGGGCTGTTGTTGATGTGGTTGCTGATGCTGCTGTTGAATGTACAGTTGTTGGTGAACCATGTTCGGAGGTAGTGCTTGAAGGGCAATCATTTCACTAAAAAATAAGATTTTGAAAGACAAATTTGAAATTCGCCAAGTGGTATACAGTATAGAACCATTACTCATGGTATTGAGGCCTAAGAGTCCCTACAAGAAGATTTTTTTTGGGATGTGTTATGGTCAATATCTATTGTGAGATTTTATGATAAAATGAACAGAAAATTACTTGTTTTCTTTCTGTCTGCGCCTGTTATCATCTTCATTGAGAACCTTTTTCAGCTGCAGAAACAGCTGATGCTTCTCTTCCTTCAGCTGTGTCAGTTTTGTCTCTAACTGTGAAATCTGCTCTCTGGTCTCTCCCAGAGTCATAACGTCTTGCTGCTCTCTGGCTTCTCTCTCCTTGCGAAGTCTTTCTTCTTCCACCTCTTGTTCTCTTTCTTGCCTTTTGCGAGCTCTTTCTCTGAGGATGTGCGCCTTCAAAACTTTCCACATCTCTTCTGAGTGATCAGAAGGCTTGACCACATCTGTTACTGCTGCAGGCATATTCGAAACGATGTTGATGTTCAGAAATGATTTCAGAAGTGAAATAAAATTTTGAACAATTAGTTTTGGTATACCGATATGATTATATGAACATAACTATTCAATCTTGAAGAACTGGCTTTTTATTAATTTTAACCTCAAAGGAAACGTCAAACGTCAATTTCCAAAACATAACAAAGCAGAACGTCACACATCACAGTAAACTATTTTTCAGGGGTATGTTCCATAACAGGCGAGTTCTTAAAATCAACAGAAAATTTTCGATGGATTACTAATTGAAATTCATTGTATAAAGAATGTTTGGAGTACCAACTGAATAAAACATGAGTGTTTTTGTATAATTAAATGTTCATATGAGGGTAGCTGTTTTGATAGAGCTTTTTCTTTCAGTTTGTGGTGTGTGGTGTTTCATTTTCAAAAAGTCTGAACTGATGAGTTTTATTCAGCACATAGGCAAAATTCAGTAAAATTTTCAGAATTCAACAAAATAGTTTTCATTTCTTGACTTTGACTATTTGTGACTTTCCGTGATACTGCCAACAAATAATGATAATAAAAACTCTAGTAAATGATTATTTTAAAATGATTACTTTGGTTGATCACAAATTTCATGATCTGTGGATGGAAACATTTGAAATGAGACAATCAAAATTTCTAAAAAGTGATTTTCTGTTATCGTTTCGACTTTCGAGTGGCCATATCATCGAAAGTAGACCAAAGTGTAACGTTTTAATTCGAAATATGTGATCAGAGGACAAAAATAGTCTGATATGAAATATTTTGAGAACTGATGCGAACTATATTTTCTTATTCAAAGTATTTCAATTTCAAAATCAATTTCCGAAAAATCAATAATTTTGGTTCGCAATCAGCAGCGAGATCACTAGTTCACCATATTATTTTACAATTGTACCACAATCGAACAACACTTCCATGTTTGATAATTCATGAATTCACAGTATGGATAAGTTCAACCTCTAGAGTCAAGATTCTAGACATTCATCCTTCGAATGCAACATCGAATGTTACTCCAGTTCATCCACGCTTAATTCAAATATCGTATTAAAAAAACACACTTCAATGTGAGATTCACAATTGGAAATTAACAAAACCGCGAAAGGTATCATATCAAAACTGTTTTTTTGAATACGTTATAATGAATTTTCATCAAGTATCGGTTAGTTCAGTTATAATTTTTCAACTTAAAAAAAAGATATTCCTTACTTTTTTTACTGCTCATTTCTTTCACCAAATATTTATTCTGATTCAATAAATATAAACTTTCCTTTCATTTAACATTACGTAATGTCGGATATCAACAATGATAATAATATGCCATTCCATCCATTCTAGTGACTTTCAAGAAAACTTTTCAAAAATAAATGTTTGTATCGTCCTGATAACTGAGGCAGACAAAGAAATATATAAGAAGTAGAAGAAAAATAACCTACTGTTATACTACTCTCCTAACCTCATTATAATCCACAACATTTTATTGTATGTGTATGGGTTTATTCTGTGTTTCAATTTTTCGATATTCAGTTATCAGTCATTTATGCAAGCAGGAGGAAATTTGTGAAAATAAGTTAACCTGGAAAGACGAAACGTACTGTTGAACTATGGATTCAGTTAACGATAACAATCCACGAGTAACATTGAAAGAAATGAAAATAATAAAGGTGATTAAAAATATTTGTCATTGTTACTATTAATGTATTCAATTACAATTCCTGACATTAAAACGTTTCTACTGAATCAGAACTGATGAGTATAATACTAATTACTTCATGAATCGATGTAAATTATATCCCTATGACATTGTTTTTGTTTTGTTATAGAATGTTTCGAAGGCTCCTTCAGTTCTGACTGAACAATTCGATATAAAAAACTTCAGAAAGAGGTTCAACATAGTTATTGTTCGTAATGAAAACTACGAAATGGAGTTTGATCTGGTCGGAATCCATACATCTTTTGTCAATGCCATTCGAAGACTAATATTAAGCGATGTACCTTCTATGGCCATTGATAGGGTACAAATTCTCAACAATACATCAGTAATGCAGGATGAAGTGTTGTCACATAGATTAGGACTGATACCATTGAAGGCCGATCCTCGGATATTTGATTGCCTAACAGATGGTAAGTAATTTTTATTAAAGTTTAGGGTTTTTTAGGTACTGAATGGGTGGGTTATGTATGAATTTTTCCAGATTCCTCTGAGCACAATGAAAACAATTCTCTCGAATTTGAGCTGAAAATGAAATGCACTTGGAATAAGGAAACAAACAAAAAAGACTCTTCAAGGGCTGAAGATATGTACAAAAATGACATTGGTAATATTTTTGTCAAGATTTCTTGAAACTTTTTCTAATCAAAACCATAAATTTAAATATTTTTAGTTTACTCGAAACACATCAAATGGATTCCAAATGGAAACCAAAAAGATAAATTGAAAGAATCAGATGTAGGTCCTATGTACTCCGACATCCTTATTAACAAACTCCGTCCTAATCAAGAACTGGATTTGAAATTGACAGCAGTCAAAGGTTGTGGCAGAACTCATGCCAAGTTTTCACCAGTTGGTAAGTTGATGGGTAATTTTAATTAACTTCATTTGATATGACATGAAATTCTGGTGTTTTTTATCATAGATTACGAGTTGATGAGGTGTACGAAATAAGGCTTATTTCAAAATTCACCTTCAAGAACTATTAGTTCCTCCAGTGATAGTAGTCTAGTTCTATGTACATTAGTTTTTTTGGCCATGGTCTGTAGGCACTGGTGATGGCCAATAGACTGAAACAGCTGTATACTGGCTGCTCTTGAATTGAAATCAAATTTTGGATGGTCACAGTACTTATCTATTCATCTTTTCATTTTGATTCTGGTAGCCTGACTGCGTTAACCTTTCTAGAAACATGTTTCAGTTTTACGATGGCATTCCCAGAGAGCTTTCCATATTTCTGCTAACAAAGTTGTCAGTTTTGAACATTGGTAATACCACCAATGTTTATGTGAAAAATTGGGTTAGCAGACTTGGGTGTTACACCAGTGGGTAGTTCCACTTATGTATTGCTTGCTCTCACGCTGTAATTTTGATGAAGTGATCCTTATGATTTTACTCAATTTCACTCCTCCATAATTTCCAGCTTCCGCATTTTATAGAAACCTCCCCGAAATCAAATTAGTGCGAGAAGTAGAAGGAGAGGCAGCGTACCAGCTACAGAAATGTTTTTCGCCAGGTGTTATATCTATAAGACAAGAAGGCAATGGAAGAAAAGTTGCCGTAGTTAACAGTACTAGGTATGCCACCGGTAGTAGGAATGTTTATCGGTATAAGGACCTTAAAGATTCAGTAGAGATGACCAGAGTTCGAGACTACTTTATTTGTGAGTATCAATTGGGTGCAAATTGTTGTGTAAGCAGTTGAAAATAGAGATTATTTTTATTTTCCAGTTACCATAGAATCAGTTGGAGCCATGCAACCAGCGGATATTTTCAAGGAAGCAGTCATGATCCTTAGGAATAAGTGTACTGATTTATTAGATGAGCTGAATTCCTCTTATTGATTCTTTAAATTTTTTCAATAAAAATATTTATTACCTCATGAATTTTTTAATTATACCTGCTTTCTTTCTGGTGACACTTGGAAAAACTAAATCCAACGCCCTTCGTGGTATTTATCAGGGTAGTAGTTACCTACAGTGTAGGTAATTTGAGACTGGCCAGAACGGATTGTTCTTTTAATTAGTTTAAAAAAAAAGGAATCGACTACATTGAAAAAATCTATTTGATCCGTCATAATATAATTATAATATCCTAGCATAACTTTCTTGGAAAAATATCATGACTGTAGCAGTACTTAAGCAGCTGCAACCGTTTTCGATAATGCGAAGACTCAAGAAAAGTACTTAGTTTCTACTGGTAATCAATCTGAAATTCAAGAACAGGCTCTTTTCGTAAGTGCGACATCTGGCAATTCTTATTGGAAACTATATTATTGGTTCAAAATTAGAGTTAAAACTTTCTCAAACATTTTGCTGCAGCTGCATGTAAATTTCAGATATTCAGCAATGCGGTTAGCGATTTTTCTCTTATCTTGCTTACTATACAACTCTTGAGAGTTTTTCATTGAAGAATACCAAGTCACCACCACAGGACTTAAAGTATGAGTTTTTTCTGTGTTTGCATCTCAACCACAGAATACAACTTCTTCAATTGACTTTGATTGGTGTCAAATTTTGACGTTTGATAGTTATTTGTTGATCGCACAAAAAGGGTTAAATATTGCTTGGTAGTGAGATAATCCTTTGTTAATTGTGATAAAAATAGAAAGCAATGGAACTTCCTAATTTATTGATAGATCATGACTACTGTCAGGTAAATCTTCCAAAACAATCATGATTTACCAACCTGTCTGAAAACCAATTATTCTAATGGCACATTTTTTAACCTATAACTGATAACTTAAAAACTGTTTCAGATGTTATTCGATTTTCCTTGTCTTACATGTGATAACAACTCAAACTCAATTGGAAAAACCTCCTATATATTCCAAATGCAATATGTCATGATCCTGATTGAACTCATGCCTCTATGTCAAAAGATGGTTCGCAAATGTTGAGTTGGTCTCCCCATTCAAAAAACTACTACTTTACTTTTTCATTCTTTTGAGGAAAGCTATTTCGGTTTGTCCGATATACATTCTTTGACAAGAACCACTATCCACACGACAAAAATTATTTGTTCTGTAGGACACTGTAGGTTTTGAGTAGAAATCTCACCTTAAAGTTTTTTTAATACGTCACACTTTTAGTTCTGTTTTTATGTAAATATATTTGTTTCAGAAGTATTTATATTGTATTACTAAAACCATGGTAAATATCAATTGCACATTATTATTCTCCTCCAAAACAGTGTCATTTTTGTGGCAAGCAAAAAATTATTTGTTCTAGTTTGTGTCACTTCCTTTTGGTTTCTATCAATATTCCAATATTTTCATTCCTTTCCTTAAAAGTTATCTGTATATTAATGGAGGATTAGAGACTGAAAAAAGTTTTTATAATTATCATCATTATATCACTTGGTTCGATGAGTCTGTTCTGTGTTTCAGATCGAGAAAAAGAAGAAACGTTCTGCGATCCAAGAAAATGAGGTGGCCCAGTTGTTCGTCATGAATGCATGCGAGTTTTTCAAAAACAAATTCCCAGATCTCAGTATAATAGACGTAAGTCGACAACACATAAAAAAAGGGAGTGTTTCAATGAATTCTTCTAGACTGTTGCTGAATGCCTCAAATTAGATCCGAGACTAGTACGAAAGTATAGATATGGCCCTAAGAAGAAAATCATCAAGCTATTGAAGAGTGGAAAGAAAGCACCCAGTCAGGAACCAAAAGCCAAACTGGTTACTTTGGCACCTATTGAAACTGAAAATATAATAATCAAGACTGATAGTTCATCTGAAGGTAAGTGAAGTTCCTTCTAACTTTTTTCCTTTCAAAGCAAAGTTGAGTATTGTTAGGAACTGAGAAAAGAGCCAAAATTGAATTCACACAGATGGGTTATTTAATTTTCTCAATCATGAAATGCAAATGTATTGATTGGGTTTACTTTTTGAAAACCCGTAGACATGAATCAGCATGCCTTATACACAAGAACAAAGGTACCTTTACTTCTCACTCTCACCACAACACTGAACAGGCTTGCCTATTAAAGATTCTTATCCCAACAAGTAGTCAAATCAGAAACTTAATTATATATAATGGAGTGAAAATGTACAACAAGTTACCTAAAAGTTTAATAGAATGTATCACGCTACAATCTTTTTGGAGAAACTTGAGTTACCAAATGATTCATCATCTCACACTTGATGTCATGAAGAATTTTATATTTTCACATAGTTCTGGAGAGAGAGAGATGAGAGATTGAGAGGAGAGAATGAAAGGAGAGAGAGAGAGAGAGAGATATAGATAAGATAGAGACAAGATAGAGAGGATAGAGAAGAGAGAGATAGGAGAGGGAGAAGAGAGATAGGAGGGAGAGAGGGGAGAGACAAGATATAGAGGAGAGAGAGACAAGATGTAGAGGAGAGAGACAAGATATAGAGGAGAGAGAGAGACAAGATATAGAGTAGAGAGAGAGAGACAAGATATAGAGTAGAGAGAGAGACAATATATAGAGGAGAGAGAGAGACAAGATATAGAGGAGAGAGAGAGCGAGAGAGAAGATAGAGAGGGGGAGAGTGAGGAGGGAGATAGAATTCTAAAGTCTTCCTAAATTTGACAAGTTGCATGAACCTGCTGATGAAGTAAATAATAAAACAAGGACCCTGGCCAGTGTTGCTACTTATCTCTCATTGTGGCTTGCCACTGGAGTGGATTAATCTCATGCATTAACATTTTGTCTTTAGAAAAGACATGTAGTACAAATTTACTTATATAGTACTTGTTTAATGAAATGAGATGAAATATTCAAGTGAAATAACATTTTTGTAACTTCCAAACTGTCTTATCGAGTTTGTAAACATTTTTGTTCTAGGAGATGTCAATATGCTTAGAGGTAGGAGGTATTGCTCCGTAGCAGGCTGTAATACATACAAATCGAGAGAATCTACTTTACATATGTTTCCGAAACAAGAGAAGCTCCGAGAAAAATGGAGAAAGGCTCTGAGAACGCAAATTCACATTACGAAGTATATGGGGGTGTGCAGCAAACATTTTACCAAAAGGGATTTCGTCATTGGTAATTATATTCGATGATCAAAGTGACTTCTAAAATTGAATTTAACAGTATTATAAATGTCTTATGTTCTTGTGGGCTCTGTTGAATTTAGTAACTTTCGAAGTTCGATTAGAAAAAAAAATTCAGATGCAAGTTTACAAACTCCCTACGTGTTCGTAACCATGTGGTTTGATTGTTATTCATAGTAAATGTTTGCTCATACTTGAGTGCCCGTGTTGCATCGTAGTCGTTTGTTACTTTGTTGTTTTTTTTTTCAGAAAATCCAGAAACGAAAGTCAGACGTCTCCGGCGTAGTGCCATTCCTTCGCAGAACCTCCCCAGACAACCTAGGAAGCTATTTTTATTGGATCACGATGGGTAAGTTTTTTTATTAAGGAAATTCCTCAGTGAGAGTGTCGATGTATTTACAGAGGTACATCCAACACCGACGAGTTTACAATTCCCATCAAGGCAGAGTTGAAGGAAGAATCCATGGGGGAACACTGGGATGGCAGTCATTTCTTGGGTTTTTGAATCCCTGAATTTGTGATCTTGAAATAGTGAGAGAAGCGGATTGTTTTGGCTCATTTGAGCTCCAGGACATTTGAAAATAGCATAGCTGAATTGAAATGTACCTATATCAGAGTGTCCTATATTAATGTTCTGAATGCTGTACACACAATTCAATACTTTTGTTGTCTACTATAGAGTTTTTTTTCCTGTACGTGAAAATGGAAATTTTATGAGATTTTTCTTGATGAAGTTTTTCTAGAACAAAATTTTTAAAAAGAGTTGATTCCAGACTACACAAGCAGTACGCCTGCAGTTGCAGTTTGTGCGGAAACAAAATTATCCACAAAATTTCTCGGTGTGAATGAAATTCTTGATTGATCTACCTATAAATTTTCCTAAACAAAAATATCTTGCAAAAAATGTAATGTTGATAGAATAAAATGGGTCATAGATTTTTTCTTCAAAAATTTCATTTTTAGCATTTGTTACTTGAAGAATTGACGATCTTCTACATCTAATGAATCTATCAGGGTATTATTACACTAGGCATTTTTGGCAAATATCAAAATGTTCTGTCTGTATTTCTAGAAGAATCCAAATAGTAAGATTTTGTTGAAATTTTGTTCTTATTAGTAGTCGCATAATTATTATCACACATTAACAATTTTTCAAATGAAAAATGCAGTAATCAGTTGTCTAATATCATTTCTTCTTATTTTTCATATTGTTTCTTCTTATTTTTCTATGGTTTCTTCTTCTTATTTTTCATATTGTTTCTTCTTATTTTTCTATTGTTTCTTCTTCTTATTTTGTATAATGCTTCTTCTTTTTCATATTGTTTCTTCTTATTTTCTAAATTTTTTCTTTTCTCCTTCTAAGACAACATGTTCTTTCTTAGGGTGCTCCATTTTGAAACATTTCAAACGGTTCAAGGTCGGCGAGGAAGTTCTTCGGCCATCAGGGTGAGGTGAGTAAATATCGTTTGGGTGGTCGTATTAGATGGCATAGAAGTCTGAGATGAGGGTTGAATAATATTAATATTGATTCCAAAACATGAAGAAAAAAGGAAGAACTTCTGTCAGGTCTCTGAAACAGGTAGAAAAATAGTCTGAACAGGTATTGATCTGATATGATTGTTTGTACCCTTATTGTGTATGAAGTAATTGAGACCTTTCCGATATCGACCTTCATTGATGTAACAATGAAAATTGGGGTTGAATTATTATTATTACTATTCAACCCTAATCACAGAGTTCAATGCCATCTAATACGAACACTCAAAGGATATTTACTAACTTCATGCCATAAGAAAAAGCATGGGATGTGGTCCTAGAATATGTATAGTACCTTTACTCAGGTACTGAACAGACTTTTTTTTTGAAATCCAATATTGTAGCAATTTTTCGTTCTAATAACCTGAGAGTGCCTATTCTTGAACCACTTGTCGCTCGCAACCATTACTTATTCTAGAAAAATTTATCGTAGAATTATAAAATCACTATAGTAACAATCAGATATAAATTTGAATATTAGTGGTTCTAAGTCGCAGCCTTGGGAGTACACTCATTTATATATAATAAAAATTGATGCAATTTTATTGTTTGCCTGTTTTAACTACCATTTCAATTTGACATTATAGGAGTTTCTATTCAACAAAATGCTACATTCTGAAATACCGTTTCTGTTGAGTTGCATATTTATTTGACAGGTTTTTTTGTTGTCTGTTTTTACAATTTTCTAGTAATAGAGCTACTTATGTAGTTCTACAATTGTTGTGGATTGTCTTTATCAAGAAAATTCACGTAATTATTCCAGAATAACTATTCTTTTTCCTTGTTTCAAAAGGTTACAAATAATAGTGCATTCCTCAGAGTTTTATCTTTTGGAGAATACATTTTTCGTTGTTTGAGCATTATGTTACATGGGGAATTGAAACCTTTCAGTTTTTCTGCAACTATTTTGAGGAATGTCCCAATTTGTAGCCCTTTACTTTGCAATTAATGTTTCCCAGTATAAAACCATGAATGAAATCTTCAAATCTTTCGTTTTTTTCATTCTATCACTGTACTTGTTCAATTTTGTACCATGATAGTGTCAGCAGAAAATTTGTTATTTTGTATGATTGTTTATTAAACTTAAATAGTTGATCCAACTGAATAAATTGTCTATCCAATATATTTTTTCTGTTTTCTGTTGTTTTATTGTCAGTCGGTAGCCAAGCGGTTCGGCGTGGGTGCTTTGTTCACTCACTCGAATTGACTGCCGTGTTGGTCGGTGGTTCAAGCCCTAGTCTGAACGATCAATCTTCACTTGCTACCGACAACCCGTGTTAGGAATCACACGTTAAAAGGTAAGACCTCGTTAATCCTTGGCTCGCACAAGTTTCGACTTCTGAGGGTTGTCGTTCGTAGGGGTGCGACAGCTGGTTAACGAAAAAACAGATTTTTAAACAGATAAACAAAAGGAAGAAGGAGGAGGAAGCTTCATTTTATAAAATGCATGAGCATTTGATACAATCAACCATACATTACTTTTGGAAAAAAAAAGGTTTTCGTGGGGTTGTTAATCGAATGTTAAAAACATACCAGCATAATTTAACAAGTAAAAATAAATGGAACCTGAATTAAAGAGATAATATTCGGGTGGGAACTGCCACAAGGTTATGTGTTTGGGCCAATCTTGTTGCATATTTATCTTAATGATAATCCGAAGATGAAATTCATTCTTTTGTTATTGATATGGTTATTACATTTGCAGAGCAGTTTAGGACAATTTGAAACGGAATGCAGAAACATATTTTGAAACTAATTATCATTGATCTTCTATATGAATTGAATGAAATGAAATTTTCCAGCTAGGCAGATGAAACATATTTTGACAAATTAATGGACATTGTTCAAGTCATGCATGTAATAATTGGACTTTATATATTCTTATAAATTCAGACTTATTTTATTTTCAACAACCTGAAATTCCTCAAAGTCCGACATTGATAAACAAATCTTGTGTAAATAACTTCAAATTTTTCAATTATACGGGAATATGGGTTTTTCCGTTTATAAATAAATTGATGAATGAAAGATAAACAGTTGATCTATGAGTAAATAATATTATTGATTGCTTATATACGTAAGGATATCTTGACTTATAGACTTTTCTGTGATTTCTGGTAACACTGATAGTAAAGAAACTGGTCTAGTATTGGGAAGATTTTTCCTGGCTTGACTTGGGTATAGGACGACTCTGAAAAGTGGTCATTTCAATGAAATTGAGAATATCAACTCTTGATAGTTATATCTGTGGTTATCAAGGTTTTTTTCGAAAGATTTTCTTGAAATACTCATGAACGTTTTCATTCTAGATATATTAAACTGATTATGGCGAAAAAATCATGTACCTACCTGCATTTAGTTGCCTTAAATTATAACCCCTGAATTTCAGTTTTTGATGGATGTCCTTTAAATTACATTTTTTTAAACTTTTCGAAATAAAATCGAGTATGATGTACAAATATATGAGCAAATAAAAAAATGTTTCAGTATTTTTCAGAAGTAGGGTAGAAATGAATTTCTCAGAAACCTACATATGTTTGAAAGTGAGAAACACACTTTATTCAATTTGTGGATTACTTCACTTTATACACTGTTGTGGACTTAATTTCAAAATGGGCTTTTCGAATGGAATTTCATGACTCGACACGTTCTTAAGACTGTGAATATATCTTTCATCATATAGAAAACACCGAAATTTTTGAAATATTAGGACTACCAAAGTATGTGTCATTTGACCCTCAAGACACCAGAGGTTGTTAGGTTCTTGTCCACTCGCAGTAGTTTGATTTTGAAGGAATTTTGTGCAATTTTATTTTTCATTTATATTCTTTTTTCTTTATTACTCACCCGGTATATTTGAAACTATTTCCAAGTTGAATTTCGCACATTATTGGGATCAAGCGCATGCGCGGTCAAGGAATCACGAGCACGAAAGTAGTACGCTATTAGTTCGGAGTAGTTCGGACGCAGTTTTGAAATACACGGTTTTCAAATTTGTTTGTTCATGTGCTTTTCCTGAATTTTCGCTACCGCTATCGCTAATCACTAGTGCTCACCGCTTATGTTGTACAGTTTACAACCGCTCAACGCTTTCGCTTTGCCAGTTGGAATTGCAGCAGAAATTTCATAATTCAGGTTAGTGCGGCATTTTCAGTTTATAGTTGACAGTTCATATTCATTTCAGTTGACATGATATATTCATACAAACCGCTATATTTTCGGTCCATTCGTGCCAAGAATCGTTTTCCTCTCATTGCATAGCTATACTTTCCTTCAATATCGTAATTATTATTGAATCAATAACCAAATCATTCTTCACAATCAAAAAAGTTTCTCTACAAATTCAAGGTCAAAAGAAAAATTTTTGTTAATATTTTTAGCACTTCGCAAACAATACTTACTTCATTTAACAGCTGATTGAACCAAAGTTATTGAACTGAGAGGTATTTTAGTTTTCACATAGAATTATCGATATGTATACCTCTACGTCAATAAAATAAAAGGATATAGAGCTCTTCTTAAGATTGACAGTTGCCTTGACAGACCGAGATAATGCAAAATGATGAATTAGTTTGGAAAAATTTCGATCATGTTTGTTTTCAAATTGAAATTATTGGCCATACTTCATTCAATAATATCAAATTTGAACAGAAACACGCCATTACGACCGCTAGTACCTACTAATGTCAAACTTCCAAAGATTGAAGTTTCAAAATTCACTGGAGATACAAAAACGTTCAAATCATTTTCTGATATGTTCGACTCTCTTACTCGAAAAATAATACTCTCTCATCTGTGTAATTGATGACTTGTTTATTTTGTGGAAGTTCATGATCACTTAAATGAAATAAATAGTTTTATCAAATTTTTACGACCTGTTTCGGGTTTTATCCCAGTATCAAGTATACTTCGCTCAATTGCAGAGCAATTCAATTATCTAGTATCTAGCAGTGCTGCCGCATCGTCAATTCAAAAAGTACCGAAATTTACAAGAAAATAGTACCCAAAATGTACTGCGCAAGACTAGGCATGACACATGCGCATAAGTCATTTCAGACCAAATGCCAGTAATGCCAAACGTGTAATAATGTTATCCATTTAAATTCGGAAAATATATGGAGTAAAAAATTTGCTGGAAACTAAGAAATGTTCCTTAAGAGAAAGATCATAATCAGAACATTTGATAAAAAGGTGTCTTTTTCCTTCTTCAAATTGCTCTTTCACGATTGCAAATGTGTTTTGTTTTAATTAGGTTTCTGTCACAATAGAATGAACAAAACACTAGACGTTTTCAAGTAGCTAGATTCGAGAATTTATTTTTACCTGTCCATATTTCTATTTATTTTGACAAAACAATAAAACCAATTTCTCAAGGTGAGGTGTGAGGTTAGAAGTTGAAACTGCTGTTCTGCTGACTGACTGACATGATAGAATCACAGTTCACAGGCACAATACAGAACACAGGATTAAATAATGCAGAGTTATGATGATAGCTCGCAATTTTGACACAAGTACGGTATTTGCTAATCTGGAACTTGAAACACGGAATTGCATTGTTGCCACACATATTGTTGTTATTTTTTACTGTACTCGATGGGAGTCAAGGTGAAAATGTAAAAAATTGGGATTATAGTAAATAGTACCGAATAGTCTACATATTGATCCGGGTAGTATCTTCGTATCAAAATCATGGAATAGTACCGAATGCGGTACAATAGTACCTTAACGGCAGCACTGGTATCTAGTTTCTTCTCTTCGCGGACCTCCCTTAACTACGAAAATGGATTGAACCTCTTCTCTCGGCTGCTGTTGACGCAATTTTCGGAACACCTCGTCGATTTACTCACATTTAGACTCTACTGTGATGAATTGGCCCGGTTGCAGTAAGTTATAATACTCACAACAGCCGCTGCGCTGACCATCATATACTACACATGGTCTTATTTAGCGGGTTTTAGCCTTTGGGAAGCGCTGGGGTAGCTCATTGGTGTCCAAATACTGTCCTGGACGTCTTCTGTTGTCGTAGAGGATCCACTTCCCATTACACGTGACGACCCAATCCAAAAAAGGATCGTTTTGGTTGCGCATGGGCACACACTTTTTAAACTTCTTGATCTTTCCAATACATTTTAAACCATCACCAGGGTCCTCAAATCTTCTTTCTGGTCGACCATCTTCGAGGGTAACATTTCCGGAACGAAATTTCGCAAGCCAACGTCGAACAAAGCGTTTATTAACTCTATGCCAAATCGCTACACAAGAGGTTTTGTTTACTCCTTGTGCTTTACACTCCCTCTGTTGTCTGAAACATTTCTCACAAAAAATCTGGAGCCTTTTATCAGCACAGTTGAATAATACAACCAGTAGGTTATCTTACCACGTGGTCCGCCCGAGTTACCGGGGACCTTCAACCGCTCTTAGAATGAGATTCTCAGCCAACGCGTTCAGTGCTGTAATATCGAAGGATTCGACGGTACCACGGGTATCGGATTAGTTATAATAAACGGTCGGAAATTGATACTGATATTTTATTCGCTGTTGTTATTATTGTTTAATTATTGTCCTCGAAATGAAATTGTCTACCAAACAAATTTCAGGTGAATGTGACAGAAATTGTTCATTAACCAGTGTAATGCTGTTCGATATCCGAACTCAAAAGTTTTTGGAGTGTTGAAGGAATATTTGAGGAAACAGGCAGTGTCAAACATTAGAAAAGGCAAGTAGTAAATTACAATAAACGAAGGAAATTAATGAAACGGGTTACGATAACATATGTATATTCATACAAACACTGCTACAGAAGCAGAAACTTAGTTGTTTCATCTCGACCTGCATAAAGTCCCTTCAAAAGAAGATACAAGGTTTTGACTTTCTAGTTCTCATCCCAAAAAAATATACTCCTTTCAATTTAAACCAGATGTTTTCGTTTTGTCAAATATGTTTTTCAGTTTCCTGTCAATGTTATGCAAGAGCAAAATTAAGAAACTACCTACGATGAATACTTGAACTTTCATCCCCTTTTTTAATTCATGTTTATTTTAGTCTAACCTCTTGATTCCAATGATCTAGTTATGGTTAGATTATATACACATAGCAAATTGTTGAACAATGAGTATTTTTGTAAGATCGGATAGCAGGAAAATCGAAATTAGCGTTCCACAGGGATCGATCTTGGGTCCAATACTATTCATTTTGTATGTGAACCATCTTGATGCGATAATTGGTACTGCGGATTATACTGCGTATGCAGACGACTTTTCATTGTTTCTGTCCGCTACGGATAGTGAATACCTGCGAACGAAATGTATTGGAACAATTCATGCAGTTTCATCATTTTTTAATAGTACAAACCTATTTTTCAACATTCCAAAAACTCAGATGTTAAGATTTCACTGTCGTCAAAGAAACATTGATAATTTTGAAGTGAAATTACTAAGCAGAATACACATGCAGAGGTTAGGTTTTTGGGTGTGTCTCTGGATGAACATTCACTTGGAAATTCCATTGTCAACAATTATTTTCCAAACAGAATTCTTTGAAATATCTCTTCATTAATTTACGATCCGTTCTAGAAGTGAAACAGATGGTGAATGTTTATTATGCTCAACAGTTTATTATGCTCAACACATTTTATTTGAGAAATCTACCTATGGTGTCATTGAAAATCTACTGAAATATAGGTACTGCAATGTATTTGAAGTGGTGTACTCTTTGATTTGAAGTTTGAAGTTTGAAAATTTGAGTTTTCGACCACTAGGTTGCGCTTGTAAAGACATTTGAATAGTATCACTGAATCTAGAAGGCCTTGGCCTTCTTACGGGTATGGGTGATGGGCGTGGTCAAGTACTCGAAATAGCAAGCTGCTTTCTAGTTGATCCTTTGTTATTGGTTATGTTGAACACTGGGACTATTTCAAGTATTAGATTTCAAGATTCAAATTTTTCCATGTTTGAAATGAGGTTATGTATTATTATCTTCTTCTTCTGCCTCCATTCGGAGGTCGTAGATATTCAGAAAACAGTAACAAGCAATCGGGAAATGGATGTTGTATGATCTGTACCCCTTTTGTGGGTACAGATATGGCATTTGCCTATGGGGTAATGCACCAGGTGCACAAAAACGAATTTTGAGATGTATATCGAGAATTTCTAATAGAAAATCGTGTTGAACTATTTTCAAAACATTTCGTGTTTTGACGCTTCCATATTTCTTCATTTTAGAAACATGTGTCCATGTTTTTAAAAATAAGAACACTATTATTCGCAATTCGGATATTCATGGTTATGGAACAAGAATAATGCAATATTTTCATGTGAATTTAGCAAATGGAAAAATAAATTTATGTGCTACTGATCATTTTGGCCTCAAAATATTCAAAAATCTCCCAGAAAAATTGAAGTTTATAAATACATTGTCTCCATTCAAACATGAGTTGAAGAACTCTTTAATTGAAAAATGTTTTAATAGTATATGTGATTTTATAAAAGTTTATAATATGTGATTAACTACTTGTGATGTGAATTAGTGTTAGTGTTAGTGTATTTTGAACTTTTTATTTTTATTACTTGATGTAAATTTTTGATGGTGAAGTAGAGAGCGAAAACCTCAATTTCCAATTTTTTCCTTTAATTTTCAACAGTCTGGAAAATTGTTAGTTATATGAATGTTGTCTTTTTGATAATTTCTTTGCCTTCCATTTCTGGTGTATGAAATGAAAAAACTTGTACAGGAAGTGAGAAAAAAATGAAGTGAAGAAGAAACGAAAATTGACTTGATATATTTTACAAAATTATCATCACATGACAATTGAAAATGTATGAAGCAGTATTGCGTAAGCGCTAATTTAGTGAACCTCCTTCGCAGACATAAGCTTCACCTCCTCTTATCCCGTCTAGGACCACATTGCAGAATCCAGTTCTACAAGCTCTGTGGCACTGATGATAAGTTTTGTAAGTCTTGAACGAAGGCCCTCCGACCCATTGGGCTTCTGTTTCCGTCAATTGGAAAGAGGCGATGACGATAAGAAGAAAGGAAGCAAAAAATAGCAACCTCATTTTGGTTGGTGGATGTACAATGATCTGAAAAATATGGAAACAAATCATATTCAGTTGAAATCCAAGAAGAATTATCTGACAGGAGATTTGTCCACAAGGTTCTGTTCTGGGGCCATTAATTTTGCTGCTATTTGTGAATGATCTTCCCAGATATATCAGTAGAGGTAAACGTGTTGTTTTTGCAGATGCGAATTACTCTAATCTGTTTTTTACAATACTTTTTTGTAAGAAAAATATTTTTTTTGTAAAAACTACCAAAATAAAAATTTTTCGAAAATGGTGAGCTATCTAACTTTCTTATTACGTGAAACTTATCACAAATTACCTTCCGTGTCACTTAATTTAGTTTGGACCATATCTTTTGAGATATCCTGTATACAATCGTGTGACACTTTGTAAACTCAGAGGAAACAAGAATTGATGATCTTCTGATCAATTTATAGTACAAGGAAACGATATAGTGCCCCCTACCTTCCAGCAGTTCCCCTTTAATAAAATAGTTAGGGAGCTAACTAATTTTGTTATTCAATAATCATCTCTGATTATATTAGAATCACAATAACCATATTATATATATATATATATATATATACATATATATAAATATCGCATCGTCAGTACCGGGCAGGCGGTCCTCGATTGAAGACAAAATGTGAAAAATTGTTAAGAAATGATATTTATCTTTTACGTTTCGGAGGCCAAAATCTGCCTCCGTCTTCAGAAATGGATAAAAAATTCGAATTTATTCGCAGTTATTCCTTTTTTGATAGTTTATTTCTTTACTTCTTCGACAGATGTCAAAGAAGTTTTTACAGTTTTTTGAAAAAAATCACTACGCCACTGGATTCAGAGTGCCTCTAAACAGGTGTAACCAAAATTTCATTAAAAAATATTCATTAATCACAAAGTTATGACAACTCCAAAGTTCGAAAACTCACACAGCTAGCTAACAGTCACAAAAAACACCCTATATCAACAGATACAGCCATGAGCCGTTATTTTCATTAAAATATTTACGCTATTTGTTTTTTTTTCATCTGGCGGCACTTTATTGTTGAAATCATAAAAAAAATGATATATTGTGACTGTTAGCTGTGTGAGTTTTCGAATTTTTGAGTAGTCATAACTTTGTTAATAATGAACATTTTTTCATGAAATTTTGGTCACACCTATTCAGAGGCACTCTGAATCCAGTGGCGTAGTGATTTTTTCAATAACAAAATCGCTAATAAAAAATCCCGATTTTCGACCAAGAAAAAATATCATAGTATGCCCTGAAACTTTAATAAACATTTCAAATGTTGTCCCAAGGTAGACCTTTTAGTACTTTACATTAAAAAAAAGTTACACACTGTATATGATTATGGTGCTGCCTCAGATCGTTACTAATTGATAAATCTATGATTAGTTGTAGAGCAAAATCATGTCATGTTGGCAGATATTGTAAGAATAGATCCTAAGAGGCAAATATTGTTTACTGGGGTAATTCACCATTATATTACGTTTTCCAAGTACTACTGAATGATTGTAGTGCTTATTCAAACGAATAAGAAAAGAGATGATACTTACTGATTGAAAGGTTGAACTGATGGTAAACAGTAGTCTAGACAAATACAAATAATATTCGAGTATTTATAGCATATCTTTTGGATACAATAAAATCCTCTGAGGTCAAAAGTTCCAACGATATACTTATATTTGTGTTATTGAGAGGGATTTGTGTGAAAACAATTGACATATAATGAGTCTCAAACATTATTTTTTCAGATCTATTGATTCACTAAATTCATATTTTTTTTTTGTTGGGTTGAACGGGATATTCTTTTGCACCAGCTGAATAAGTCGAATTGAAAAGATATATTTTTCATTACACATTAGATTTTTGAGAAAAAAAACTCGTGATGGATAAATAGAAAGCCAAAAACCTTTTTGCTTCCGTTAAGATTTTCTCACGCTGAAACTGATTATTCTTGATTGGGAAATGAAATTTTTTGGTATTATGATAGTCACCCCATAATATTTAATTGTAATAAATGCATGCCTGAATCAATGCATAATACACAGCATAAATTTGAGTTTGTTTTCAATGTTTTGTCCGTTTTAATTTCATGTGTTTTTGTAGCTTCATATCTCAATGAATATTTTTTATACTAAGTTATCATATATCTTGATCGATAGATTTTGTACCCTACACATTGATGCTGTTGATTTTTTAAAATTTTAATTTGAGGAAGCGCTACCGAAAGAGCCCGAAAAACTAGCCAGGCATTTGGCAATCATAGTGTTCCTGTGATGCAATGTTTGGAACCTTACACCAGTTTTCCTTCCTTCCTACTATTTGTATCATTTTTGGGAAACAAAGTTTTTGGCTTTCTACTACTCCATCTTGATACAAAAAAAAGAAGGATGAGGGAGTCTTCCAAAGAAAGGAAGGAAGTAACTCTATACATGGATGTGTAGATCATGCAAAGAAGTAACTTTCAGACACAAATTGAAAGAAAGTCATCCTGAAATAGCTACTTTCATATAAACATTGAATTATACGAAAGAAAAAATTCTTTCGAAACAAATACTTCTATATGAACACTGAATTATACAGAAGATACTCTTCTCTACTCAGTTCGTATTTCAAACATTCGTTGTGGAATAAAAATCAGATATTATTCGCATGAGTTCTACTTTAAATGAATGATAACAAATTGCCCTTACATAGAACACTGCCATCCTCACTGGCATACACCGATGTTTCGCCTTAAGACACTTGCCCTAAGGCAAGTATTTGTATTGAAAGAATTTTTTCTTCCGTATAATCCAATGTTTATATGAAAGTAGCTGTTTCAGGAGGACTTTCTTTCAGTTTGGGTCTGAAAGTTACTTCTTTGCATGATCTACACATCCATGAATAGAGTTACTTCCTTCCTTTCTTTGTAAGACTCCCTCATCCTTCCTTTTTTTGTTGTACCAAGATGGAGTGGTAGAAAGCCAAAAACTTTCTTTCCCAAAAATTAATCACTCCTAAAAAATATAACCCCTTCAATTTTTTTATCATTTGTATTTACATTGTCAGTATGCGTGTTTGCTTTATTATGCAACAATGATACCTCATATTATATGTATGTGTTTATGTATGTATATTGTATATATATATATGCGTGTATATATGTATATGTGTATATGTATGTATATGTGTATATATACAGGGTGTAACATAAGTACGTTAAAATATTCAAGTGACGTATCCCTGGGACAATTTTAAGAAAAAAAGTCTATATGAACTTGTGTCCGAAAATGCTTCGTTTCTGAGATACGGGGTGTTGAATTTTTTGTTCACTTTTTTAAAATAACTCTTGCAAAAAATAAGTTATTTGCACGAAATTCGGTACCTGGGTTTTTTTTTACGTTGGAAATAATATTGTATTAATTTTCATGTAACATCTAGAGGGTGCTGCGTACGCTGTCATTATTTATTTCAAATTGTTCTAACTATTTTGACAGTAAACTATTGATACTTTTCATGAGAAAACCTAATTCCCACACTTTTTCCAAGTAAAAAAGGTACACCTCCGCAACAAGGCTGGAGGTGATCGTTTTCGAAATATTTACAATTTTCTATATCGATGCATATTACTCAGCTCCTAGGTCGCTAAGCGAAGTTGCTGAGAACATTACAAAAACTAAGTATGTGGTGGATCTCGTCGAAATAAACAACTTTCTCCTATAATATGTTTGATGAAAATAACTAAAATTGCAAAAAACGTATGACAAAAACCTACCACGTTTTGAAAAATTTCAACAATCTGTATTTCGAAAACGAATCATTCTTCGTTAATCATTCTTTGATTCCATTCCATCTCTTTAGGGATTGAGCATAGGTGTGACGTTTGGCTAGTTCCGCGAATGGGGAATGTTCCTTCAGACGAAAATCAAGTAGTTTTTATAAAAGAGCTCTAAAACAACGCATTTTAAAGTTATCACTTCAACCTTTTCTTTAAAAAATTATTAAAATACTTGAAAAAGGGAAATGAGATAATGCATTCAACATTTAAAGGGATTCGTTTCTGTTTCACCATTTGGCAACATCGGTTATAGCTAATAAAGGACAATGAATCTGTTACCTGTATGAGACAAACAAAGACGACATATTTCAGAGGCGTGCTGTTCTGTTTACTTATGTTCCGAGTTCCGAGACATTCTGTGACATCTGACATATCTTCCTCTATATAAATAAATAACAAAACAACTGTTGTTTATGTGGCTTGTGGAGGTGGTATTGAACTATAATTTATATTTTGCCTTAATTGTGGATTTATAAAGATAATTTTCCTTTTTTAAAGTAGAATATCTAGGTAACCTGAACTCCGATCTAACATTCTAGGCGCTGTTGCCAATATGTGAATTAGAAACAAATCCCTTTAAAAATTAAAAGCCAACATTTGAAACATCAATTTGGATACTTTTTGAAGTGAATTTGAAAAACTCATGAATTAAACTCAACTTTATTTTGTTCAAACTTGCATTTGCTGTAATAACCCAAATTGAGGGACATTTCCTATTGCACAACTTGCTGCCTGCAGCAGAGGTTGCGCAGATCCCGCCTACGGAATTATTCGACTTGTGTTACGTTGTAAAAAGTGCACTCATTCAACTGGCGCTTTTTTTATCGAATTGAAGGAGTATTAACTGAGATATTACAGTTTGGAATCGACACGGACGGACAAATCTTAACAGTTGGGGACTGTTGATCTTATTGGGGAGCAGAAAACCACAACACAATGCTTCTATTGATCGATTCTTGCATCTGACCCAAAACCCACCTCTCTATTTTCCACCTGTATCGTAAAAACTCGACGGTCTCTAAATAAACATCTTAATTTATTTTCCCTTCTGAAATAAAACAACATTCTCTCTCAGCAAGCCATCCATCTGGTGACCCTCGCTTTGAATCTGTTCTTTCGACCTCTTAACTTTTTGTTTATCCTGAATTTGCATCAAAGTAAGAGGATCTGTTTGTTTTGTAGGTATTCGCTGAATAATCCTGGATGCACTTGTCGGAAAGAGCTGGATAATTTCGAATAACCTACTTTCCATCGCCCTGCAGGAGTTTTCTTTTGTTTTTTTTAGTTTTCAGTTGCTTTTATAAATGAAAATACTGAATTACTAAAGGGAAATGTAATTGCAATTATACTACAAACATGTTCAAGTATCAATTTTCTGACTAGAAAGTTATCAATTTTGTAGTCGTAATAATGATTTTTAAATAGTTTTTACAATAGTTTTTTATCCGTATCCTACATCTAAGGTGTATGAACATATACATATATTTTTTGCACATCAGCAATACGTAGTATGTTATCTTACATCGAGACGGTGCTGTTCCAAAAATATAATGATACTTAAGATTGAAAACCACGGCTTTTAAAGCCTCATCTTGAGTGTTTGCGATTTTTTGCAATTCAGTATTTAATTTGAGTGGGAATGAAAGTTTTTGGCCTTCTACTACTCTATCTTGATACAAAAAATGTGGGAATCATGCAAAGAAAGGAAGGTAAAGAAGTAACTTTCAGGCACGAACTGAAAGAAAAAGTCCTCCTAAAACAGCTACTTTTTTATAAACATTGAATTACACGAAAGACATTTTTTTCGTGTAACTCAAAAACAGTTTTCCCTACTCAGTTTGTATTTCAAACATTCGCTGTGGAATTGAATCAGATATCATTCCCAGGAATCCTACACAATATACTAAATGAAAGGTAAGAATATCACTTACTTGGAACACTGTCATCCTCACTGTTAGACATCGATGTTTCGCCGTAAGACACTTGCCAGGGCTCTTCAGTATCAATATCGATAACATTATAAGAAAAAACACACAATTATTTTTCATAATGTTACCCAGATTAGTACTGAAGAAGCCTAATTTAAGTGTCTTATGACGAAACATCGATGTCTACCAGTGAATATGTTTCATGTAAATGAACTTTTCACTTTTCATTTAGTATATTGTGTAGGAATCCTGTGAACGATATCTGATTCAATTCCATAGCGAATGTTTGGATGACAAACTGAGTAGATAAAAGTGTTTTTTGTGTGAGTGGTAGGAAGCCAAAAACTCTCTTTTTCAAAAATTATTCACTCCCAAAAATATAACCCTTTCAATTTAATCAATTTAAGTATACAATTTTCACAAGAATAGAAAGAAATAAAATGGCCCAGAAATGGATTCGTACTATTCTTAATATTCAATGATGATTTTCCAAATCATTCAGAAGAATTCTATCTGTTCATTGACGATTTTGGAAAAAATCTATTCACAGGACAATATTCAATAATTCAATATTCTTTCTCATCTTTCCTCATATTGTGGAACTGATTATTTGCAAAATGTGAACAATAATCTTTTGTTCAACTGGACAGGAAAGTAGCAGATTCTCTACCATGTGAAACATAAAACTGTTTCTCCGATTGAGTATACAGTTTGTTTAAAAAAACGAAATAAAAACTTTTTCTTATAACGGATGTAACTCATCATTTTAATATTTTTTCACATTACTAGTTTCATTTCTAAGGAGAGTCTGTGTTGCTATGTACATTTTCAGTGGAAAATCGCTAATTTTTAGTCGTTTATTTCAAGAGTAAATTGTTTGAAGAAGACATTAATCGATTAATCTGTTCGGAGCTCCTCGAAAATAATGGAAAGTAATGAAAAAATGTTAACTTTTCCCTAAACTAATGATTTGGCTAAAAATCAGGATATGAGTTGTTGCCAAAAATATCCAGAAAACCGCGTATGAAATATGTTATACAAAATTCATGGATGACCGTTAAAATAGAAATTTTTCGACTGCGTGTGTTTTTGAAGTGTCAATCAGATGGTTACCATGCTAAAAATCATAAATTCAGAAATTCATTTTAGTAGCTCTAGATGATCTAGATCAGTTTACGAATGCAAGAATTAGGAATTAAAAACATTTTTGATTTATTGTCGAGTAAACAATTTTCAAACTAGGCTCCTCGATTTTAGGTATAGCATATAGAACTGATGAGTTATACCGAATAGAAAAAGATCAAATTGAAGATATGGGGAAAGAGTGTTTTCTAACACGAAGATAAAAAATAACGATTATTTATTGTAGCAGAACATTTGTAAATATGAAGATTGTAGGCCATCAGGCTGGTTGTCTTACATTTCAATTACTGATGGGACATGCAAACAACGACTTGATATCTATCAATTTGGAAAAGTGCCAGTAAAAATTGCAATATTTTCAAAATTACCAGACCCACAAGAATTCATCGGCCACTGTTTTCACAGAAGTTCTGCTGGTTTGTTAGTAAACTTTGGGGCAGATATAATCACGTTGAAAAGACATGGGGGTTGGAGATCATCAACAATAGCCGAAGGTTATATTGAAGATCATAGCTGCAAAAACAAATACTAGCGATGAAAAACTTTTTTTGGATCCCAGAAAACAAAATACCATCTGTTGTAGCGGAACGTATTATCAAGCCATAATTATTGATATTATAGAATTTCTTCTACCTACATTTTTTTATGTTCTGTGATATATTATGTTTTTTGATTTGTGAATTTTGTCGTTCTTCACTTTCGATTATATTTTTCACAAAAATATACTAACAGCCAATTTATTTTTTGTTCGGGTGCTTATGCGGGATAATATTTTCAAAGAGAAAACGTTATTTTTCAACGCCTAGCCTTACATTCACGCCAATCGGAAAAAAAGTTACTTTTTTGCTCGGAGGAAGTTAGATTTTTACCGCCCTTTTCGGAAATTCACACTCCCCACAATTTTACAAAAATAAAAATTGGCGTAGTTTTTAGTTAATGTTGTTGTATTCAATTATATTGCTTATCAAAAAAAATGAAAATCTGACTCCTCCAGAAATTAAATGAACCATATTTCACAGTAAAAATCTATTTTGAATTTATCACAAATCTCTCTTTGACGTTTATTGGAAAACTTACCCGCACAATAAAAAGAGAAAAATTTTAGTGATAAATATACTCACTTCACTGTGTTAATCTTTCGCGTTGAAATTTCCCGTGATTTTCAATCCACCAACGTTCATAAAGTAGGTATTATTGGTACCTATATCACTAAATATTTTGATGATTTCAAAGCAAATATGAATCAAACTCAACAAAGTCACCGAACAACTGCCGACCAAGATTTTCATGAGAAAATACTCAGAAATTTACCATGTCCTAACCTAAAAATCTACTAAGTTGGTCTAGATTTCAGGTATTTAACAACTAAAAAACAATCATCCAATATTTTTTTTCACCTTGAGAAAATCAGTGGTCAACCTTTACTCAGTGTACGAAAACATAATGAAGGAATAATTTTCTATAACGTAGATTTTTTATCTTTTTCGGTCTCTATGACCCATCTTGATCTGATGGACGCCATATTTTGCAGGTTTTGATTGTGCGTCCAAGGTTTCAGCTGTCTCAACTCGTTTTCCAAAGTGATGTCTTCTTGATTAGACCTCGTATTCGCCGGTTTCGGAGCTATCACCGAAACTGCGATATATGCTTTGGGACTCTGATTCAAGCTGATGGGTTTCCCTAGAAAAAAATTACATTTTATTCATATTTCATGCTACGAATCGCAAGTTGAACGGTAAGACCTCGTCAATCCGCAGGTCGTGAAAGTTTAAACTTGTGAATGTTGTTGCTGCTTGCCAAAAAATTCGAAGTCATGTTTCTGAACACATTATTTTTACTGAAATAAGAGTAAAACCTTTCAAAGGTGGTGATTTTAGTTGCAATTATTATACAGTGCGGACTGTACTTTTGAAGTGGACTGCGGTTGTATAACGTAAACTTTAGATTTCACCAATCCTCAGGAAAATCTAAGAGTTTCATGTCAGGTGATGCAGTGGGCCATTCTAAGGGACCACATACACCTACCTATCCACTGGTTGGGATAATTGCCATCTAGTCACGATTGTCCTCCTCATCGAAGAGTACTTAAGCCGATACCTTTTTAGGTAAATTTTTTCCAACCTTGATACTGAAACTGGGTGAATATTCAAATAACGTTTGGTGCACTCTGAGTATATCAATACAACCTAGGAACATGACCTGTAAATTTATTATTGTCTAAGCCACTTTATCAGACCACTTTCACTTTCATTTAATGAAAGCAACCACTTCAATGGGAGAGGAACTAATTTGTTGCATTCAATTATATAGCTTTTGTTTAGTGTGGTTTGGCCTTCAGCAGAAGTGAGCCAATTTTTCTTATTTACATAGGTCATATGGTCTTCCTGGATGCGATTTCTGAATTTTCTACCGGTTTGACTAATGTATACTTCAGGACAAGTTCCACAATCTAATTTATATACTCCTGGTTTTTTGAATTTGTATGTTTTACCTTCATTATTTTTAACTAACATTCCCAACGAATTACCTGTTCCATATGCTATTTTGATGTCTTCTTTTCTGAAAAATGAAGACAATTTTTCAGACAATTTTTCTGTTGTTTGTCCGAAATTTGTTAAAGCTCTATAATTTTGATTTTGATTATCTAAATCAGCGTTTTCCAAACTTTTTCTGCTTGAGGACTCACCTTTATTGTGGAATTTTTTTCTCGACCCACATATTGAATAATATTGAGTATAATTTTTATTGCTAATAATATTTTTATTATTATTATCGTGAAAATTCACTATTGAGGAATACAACTCGAAAAGAAAATGATAGAGATGATATAATTGAAGATAAAATACAGTACGAAAAAAGCTCTTTCAAGGTTATGTTCGAAAGAACTGAATACTCTTCCTTAGCCTTTATCCAAAATGGTAAACACCATTCAAAAGGATTCAGTGTTTTTAATCTGTTTTCTGGGATCCACCAAAATTGCTTCCACGACTCTCTAGTAGGTCGCGAGCCATAGTTTGGGAATCACTGATCTAACTCATCAATCGCTTTTGCGTAGACTTTTTTGAAAAGTATTTTGTCTAATAATTCAGCAAATTCAGCAGTTTGCTTAATGATATTGAGTTCTTTATTGAAATTATTTTTTGAAAGAGGAATAGTGACTAATCTATGAATCATATGCTATCATTTTGTGTTGAACGAATGGGTAGAATCGCAATGAATGGTAATATCTGTACGGGAGGGTTTGTGATGAATTGAAAAATCGTTTTTGTTATTCATTCTACTAACTGTCAAATCCAAAAAATTCATTGAGTTTGAATTGTCTGCTTCTACTTCAATAGTAAATCCAATGTTTGTTATTAATACACAGCGTGACTCACGGTCGATGGTTGGTTAGACGCTTCGGGAAATTCCACCTCTCACATTTCCTTACCTGTTCTATCGATCTAAAATATTTTCAGCATTGCGGCGTTGCCACTTCCATCAAAAAGTCCTAGCAACTTAATTTTTTTAAATGGAAAACCCCGTATATTAATACATTTTTGGAATCGCTCTGGTATTTTAATACTTTTTATTAAGTACATCAGTACTCTCAATTCATGAAAAGTTGATATTTTGATGATAGTTTGGACAAACTCGAAATATTCAAATAACAGCAAGAAATCGACTCCATATCATACAGGGCGTGCTAAAATTACTATTATTTCCATTGTGCATAAAAGTAGTATATTACTCGGTAAATTGAAAGATGGTGAAAAATGCTTCAAGATGATGTATCATGTCACTATACCTAAATCATCAAGTTTTCTCAATAAAGTCGCTTCTTCTAGAAACATTATTTTTTTTTAGAATTTGGATTTAGGTAGCAGTGGAATTATCAAGCTTATAGCAGATCGGTTACTTTTATAAGTAAAAAGGAAATTATTTTGTAATCTTACAAACTTCCTCTCGTTCATTGGTGTTGATTCAGGATACATTTGGTTGAATTTTCTACAAGTTCTGGCAATGATTTGATCACACTGTCCTTGTATAATAAAAAATATCATAAGAACTTCGTTTGAATAATCGATATTTGCATTCATTTTGGAAGATGATTTGAAACACCGTCGATACTCTTTGTGAATCACTTATGAAAGTAACCGAACTGCTATAAGCTTGATAATTCCACTGCTACCTAAATCCAAATTCTAAAAAAAAATAATGTATCTAGAAGAAGCGACTTTATTGAGAAAACTTGACGATTTAGGTATAGGGACATGATATATCATCTTGTAGCATTTTTCATCATCTTTCAATTTACCGAGTAATATATAGGGGGTTCCATTTGAAAAAATGAACTTTTGACTACTTTTATGCACAATGGAAATAATAGTAATTTTAGCATGCCCTGTATGATATGGAGTCGATTTCTTGGTGTTATTTGAATATTTCGGGTTTGTCCAAACTATCTTCAAAATATCTACTTTTCATGAATTGAGAGTACTGATGTACTTAATTTCAATTAAGGCTATGTTTTGGACCATATTTAGCACAATTTATTTTTTATCTCGAAAACAGATAGAGATAGGTATAGGATATTATTAACAAAAAAGTATTAAAATACCAAAGCGATGGGGTGTTCCATTAAAAAAAAAGTTGCTAGGACTTTTTGATGGAAGTGGCAACGCCGCAATTCTGAAAATATTTTAGATCGATAGAACAGGTAAGGAAATGTGAGAGGTGAAATTTCCAGAAAAATCATGCTTTGCCTACCATCGACCGTGAGTCACGCTGTATATATGTAGTTAATATACATATAAAAATACAGGATAAAGAAAATTGTTTTTTTCAAATGTTTATTGGTTGAGAAAGGGATCAAAGATTCTTCGTAGATGAACAATTGTTTTTGCCAACGTTTCGGACTTTATTAAATCCATCATCAGGGCTCAAACATTAGTTTATAGATAGCTTCAGTCTGATTTCTGCTACGGCCTGTTTCGGTTCATAATACTATTTTCAAGTATTCAATCTAATTCAAGTATTCATATTCAATACGAATTTCTACAAAATAAATATCTGATTGTCTCTCAGTATCTATGGAATATAAGAAAACGTCATTCGCATATCTATGCTAATACAAGAAATACTCAATCGAAGGATGCTTAAGAATCCACTTCTCTAGGTTGTTCATGAAAATTTCCGCAAGTAAGGGGCTCAACGGATTTCTCATGATTGAACCTTTTGAAGAAGAATAAATATTCTTGTTGAATCGAAAATAATTTTGTTCGAGACATAACGACAGGAGGTCAATGGTTTAAAACTGGGTTCACTCGATTTTTCTATGAAACTAAAGTTATTTTTTCCCTAGTGTAAACATTGTATTTTTCTTGGGTAATAAATTGTTATTATTATCATTAAATTTCGGCTTCATAGGTAAATACTCACCTGTAACTCTGTGATATGCGAAATTCTTCGGATATGTTGGTCTATTAGGTTTACTTAGCCAGGAAGTCTTAGCAGCTCTGCTCCCATTGACTTTGGTATCGTTGCTATTTACAAACTTGACACTAGCGCTTCCGTCATCGAAAGTAGGCCACCTGTTGTTCTTTCTGTCATAATCTCTTTCGAATTTCTTGGTGTTATTGTGATCGCTTTTAGGCTTGCTTTCGTTCCGTTGATAGTGAACATTCTCTTCAAGAATATCATCATCCTTCAAACTACTGACGTTTGCGTGAGTTTGTTGTTTCATTGAGTTCTTCAATTTGTCGAAGACGTTCTTGGATGATACCAAGTCTTGGTCGATACTTTCTGAAATGGAAAAGAAAAACAGTGTTTCCGTACAACTTTCATTGAAAGTAACTTTTTTAATGATTGTCAAGAGTTTTAAAAGATGATGTTTACAAAGTAGCATGTCGAAAAATATTTTTAACACTAGTGTTTAAAGTACAACACGATTTTTTTCAACCAAATAGCAATAAACAAAACATAATTATTCAATTTCCAAAGCAGTTTTATTATAAACAATAGATATACAGTGAGTACCATATGTAACGGATAAATTCATTTTCTACGTTATTAGCCATTTTAGGAAAAACCCTGAAGCACGTCGAATTATGTATTTGAAAAGACACTTTGTATAAAAAAATCCTCCCTCCTTCACCCCCTCAACGTGACAGCTACCTCCCCAATTTTTTTAAATGAAAAAGGGTGTCAAGTGATACCTCATTTCGAAGGGTATTCAATTTTCTGTACAGCCATATCTTTATTTTTTAATTTCGTATATGCGTCATAATGAAACAAAAAATTCACGTATGTATTCCATTGAATCCGTCTGCTGTACAATATGCCATGCACCTTCAATTTTTTTGTTTGTTTTTACCAACCGTTGTTTGTCAGCCGTGACAGTTGAGTAAAAAATTGTATGTTTTCTGTGAACTTGCTGAAGAGAAGCAGTTTTGCAGTTGTTGTTTGTGTTTCTTGTTCAGTATTACTTTCAGACAATAAGCTAAAAGTTATAGCAATGTCTCATTTGACTGAACGTCAAAGAGTAGAAGTTGCTAATAGATAGTACTAGGATGTGGGAACGAAACTATAACCCAGAAGAATGTTAGTGAAAATAATAAATATCCTGATCATCACATTTCTCAATCTACCATTAGTAGAACAGAAACGAAATTTCGTGGATTTGGGTATTGTATTTGTTTTTGTATTGATTGACGATGGGAAGAAATTGGATATTTTGATAGACATCGAGGAGAATCCACATAAACCTACCCGACAACTTGCCGCCGATTACGACATAAGTCAAAGTTTGATATTGCGTGTTTTTAAAAGTGAAAAATATCACCCTTATGAAGTACAATTGGTGCATAAACTCAACGAAGACGGTCCAGATCGCAGAACTGAGTTTTGCGAAATAATGGAAGACAGGTGTCTGCGAGATCCTTCGTTTAAGAAACATTTATTGTTTTCTGACGAGTCAACTTTTTTTTGAATGGAACCGTCAACAGACATAACTGTCGATATTGGAGCCTAGAAAATCCCCATTGGATGATGGAGGTCCACACTCAATTTCTCAGAAGAGTAAATGTTTGGACAGGGATTATAAATAATTGCATAATTGGACCATATTTTTTCAACGAAACATTAACCGGTGAACGTTACTTGGAGTTTTTGACTAATTTTTTAGTTCCAACGCTGAAAAGACTTTTTCCAGATAATGATAATCCCAATCAAATAGATAGGAGTATCTGGTATCAGCAAGATGGTGCTCCACCACATTTTGCAGCTTACGTTCGTGCATATCTGAATGAGGTTTTTCCCAACAGATGGATTGGTAGACGAGGTGCCATAGATTAGCCAGCCCGTTCTCCCGACATGACACTGCTTGACTATTTTTTGTGGGGTTACCTAAAGTCCAGAGTAAACATCAATAGACCAAACAATATTGAAAGTTTGCAAATCAGAATTAGAGAAGAAATAGAACGTATCACTGCCGAAACCATTCAAGATGTTGTTGATAGCTTTCAGCAACGCCTTTATTATTGTCAAGAAACAAATGGCTGTCAGTTTGAACATTTGATCTGAAGACTTTCATTAGTTGCACATTGACTGCTACAGTTTTAATAAATGATTTAGACAACACAATTTATTCAATTGTTTTTTTGACGTATGCACGAAATTGAAAAATAAAGATATGGGCTGTACAGAAAATTGAATACGCTTCAGAATGAGGGTGTCACGTTGAGGGAGGTGAAGACGGAGGGATTTTTTTATGTCACAGAGTGTCTATTCGTATACATAATTTGACGTGTTTCAGGGTTTTTCTTGAAAATGGCTAATAACGTAGAAAATTAATTTATTCGTTACATATGGTGCTCACTGTATATATACAAATAAATTCTGTTACAAATGTATTGTATACATTAATTATTATTATCATCATTTATGAATATTAATATGAAAAGTACATATGAAAAGTACAACTGCTGATATCAATACCTTGCGATTTTTAAGAACCTTGTAATATATTTGAACTATCTGACTTGACAATTTCATGGGCATCAATATCAAATTCTTGAACTGAAAAGGGCGTTGTTGTAACGCTGAAGCTAGCTGTTGGAATTATTCTTTCAACGACAGCCTTTTTATAAAAAATAGATTGATCGACCCTCAGCTACTGTTGTAGACTTCCATCCTCCCTGCTTCTTAATATCCGTTATATTTGCTCCTGATTCTGCTAGCTAAGAAGCAGAAGACCTTTTAAAACAGTGGCCTGTATATTTCTTTGGTTTCGGGAGGTTCAGAAACTCAGCAATGGCAGAGGACATTTTCCCAAACGTGTTTATACCAACTGGGTTGGCACTGCATTTATAATTTGAGTATTTCAGAAAAAAAAACGTTGATGATTGATGACAGAAGTATGCCATGCAACGTATTTATTGAAATAGTTGATATTTTTTCCAACAATGCAAAAAGAACGACCTATTTTCATTTTCGTGTTTGGAATTTGCACAGTCAATGATTTATCCATTAATTTAATGTCTTCTATTACTAACTGGCACAGCTTTTCACGCCAACAGGCTCCATATATTCCGAAAATAGTACTTTGTATTCCAAAAATTCGTTATGGAAATGAATCAGATATCATTCACAGGATTCCTACACAATATACTGAATGATAGGTAAAAATTTCACTTACATGGAACACTGTCATCCTCACTGGCAGACATCGAAAGAAACTTGTCTTGGGGCCCTTCATTCTCAATCTGGATAACATTATCAGAAGATTTCTACATTTTTATATCAAGATGGAATAGAAGACAGCCAAAAACTTTTATTCCCAAAAATTAATCACTTCTAAAAATATACTCTTTCAATATTAACAAGTTTTCTGTGGCTGGGATTTAATAAGCGAATGAATGTTATTTACGTACTGTCATCATTGACATGGGTCAACGCGACAAAAAGTAGTGATTTTATGAACGAATTGAGTGTTTTTTCATATTATATTATCCGTATTTGTTACTGAAGAGCCGATAGGCAAGAATCTTAACATCGGATGTCTCTCAGTGAGGATGACAATGTTCCATGTAAGTGAAATTTCGCTTCTCTCATCAATTATATTTCTGTGAATGATATCTGATTCAATTCAATTCCACTACGAATGTTTTGAATAAAAACGGGATAAAGTGTTTTTCCGTATAATTCAGTGCTCATATGAAAGTATATGTTTTGAAATTTTTTCTTTCGTGTAATTCAATGTTTATATGAAAATAGCTGTTGTGAAAGGGGTTTTTCTTCTAGTTTTTCTCTGAAAGTTACTTCTTTGCATGATCTGCAGATCTTTGTATAGAGTTAATTTTTCGAAATTGATTACTTCCTTCCTTCGAAAGATTACCACATTTCTTGTATCAAGATGAAGGAGTGGAAGGCCACAAACTTTCTTTTCCAAAAAAATGTAATCTACAGTTTCCATTTGAAAGAAACTTAGGCCTGATCTATACCTCTTTGTAAAGAATTTTCAGTAATGTAATTCACTTTCTCTTTCTTTCTTAGTAATTTTTCACTTCATATTCAACTTAATGACAGGAAAAGTGTTTTTTCTCCAAACCTGATCCTCTCATTTTCAAAATTTCCTTTTCAGTTGAACTGAAAGCAGTTAAACTGGTTTGAAAATTTCGAAGCATCTTTGTACAGAAACGATCTTTTTGGGCAGAGGTCACGGTTAATTAGTAATTCGCTACCACTCATCCATAAAATTCGCCAACCCTCTTATTTCTTTTATTTTCCATAGTGTCCCGCACCGGTTCTCGTTATGAAATGACCGAATTATATTACATTCACGAGGGAAGCGCAAAAAGCCGCCAAAAACGGAGCGTTTCGGTGTCGGATTCATGCATTTTTGAGCATGATATCAAGCCTGAAATTTTCATGCGATAAAAGTCTCACTCACGTAACAATTTATGAACTCTGTTCCATTGGTCAGGATGGGCTGCAATTCTCACCATGAGCTCCAACAGGATTTCGCTAGCACCAACGTTTTTCTCCGAGATGTCCTGCAAAAAAAGAAAAGGTTCAGTTCTTGGTTTTTGAGCGAGACTGCAATAAATCAACTCGTTCTGGAATCATGAATGAATCTCCTTTCACGAAAAGAAAAAAAAATTAAATTTCCATGTAGGAACACCTCGATAAAATTGAAAGTACTTTCCACAAAAAAATTTCTGTGTAACTTTCATTTAATGATTTTGCTTATCGAAGACAGAGCTGAGAAATTATACAGGTTCTGATCATAAGATTTCAAATATAGTTTAAAAAACTAAAAAACACGCTTATAAAGAACATCGAACTAAAAAGTTATTCTTATTTATTATACAAGGGAAAAAGTATTAGATTTTAGTTCGAGGTTGTGTTGTCTCCCGACGTGAAGCAGGGGGAAAGCTAAAATCTAATATTTTTCCCGTGTATAATACAAAATTTTTTTCTGTGACGGGAAAAACGACGATTTAATATTGAAAAAAAACATATTATTAGAATATATTCAAATCAGAAAATTGAACATTTTATTAAAACAACGTTATTTTTAAGACTATTAATAATATGTTACCATCTTATTTTGATGAATTTATTACTTATCGTGACAGTACTCACAAATACGAGACAAGACAAAGTTATCTTTTTCACTTGCCAAGATGGAGATTAACCAGATCCATGAAAATATTGTTTTATAAAGGTTTAAACCATTTTAATGAGCTGCCAAGAGACATGAAACAAAGCGAAAGTATTTATATATTCAAATCTAAACTAAATAACTATATTAAAATAAACACAATTTTCTAGGAAAAGATTCAATGATGCAGAACATCAGTAGTCTTAAACCTTAACATTTATCATGTATCAGTATGTTTTAAATTGTAAGTATAGTCTTATCTAGGTTAGTTACTTACCTTTGAATTTTGTTTCCTTTTCTATTTTATTTCTCAACATTGTTAGGTTACAGTCATATGTATTACTCTAGTTATTAGTTATTATTATTGTTATTTATGGACATATTATTATTGTATGTATATTAGGATTTGCTAAATAAACGTATTCATTCATTCATCAAGATGAATAAACATTTATTCTCTTCTAGAAATTATATTATAGGTACATGAAGCGAGACCGCGTCTGCATGCGACACTTTGATTGACTTTCTATTATGGGCAAGTCCCGATGACTCTGACCGGGGATTCCCTGCGAAAGCAGCTTAACGAATGATGAAAAACGATAAAAATAAGAATTCTCAATTGATTTATTTTATGATATAAAGTAGTTCATCAAAAAAAGAAATTTTCCCATGAACTTTTCCATTCTTCCAAAACCTACAAGATTTTTAATAATTCTCCTGAATTATTAGTGGTTTCGTTCCTGAAACAGCGGGAAATGTCGTAATTGCAACGAAATTTGACGAACGTCTGGAACATTCTCGATTCTTATTAACAGTAATAGGCCACATGCGGTCTGTACAAGCTTGTTTAGTATGCCACATCAAATCCCTCGCTCTCCGGAATCACGTACTCCCAGCTGATGCTGCAGTTTTAATAGATTCCAACAATGTGAGATTTCAGAGTGTTGGATTTACATTGTTATAACCCCAGCGACTGGAAGTTTTACTATATGTTGACAAAACAATGAAACAACTTCGGCATCGTGCATAGTTGGATTATTTTCAGCGGTTCATGGCTCATGGAATGTAGATTAGTTGAGGATCGCTTGACAGTTGCTAACAGGAAATAACACATCGTGATTCTAGGTTTGCATCGGTTCGAATGTTGCCACATTAGTGAAAACTGCTATTTTATTTAACTCTTATTGGATTGAAAGGTATCAATGACTGGTGTTTCAGAGTGTTTCGACGGCAATTCTAATATTTGTTTTCAGATAACGAGGTGTTTAGCAAATTTCGCAAAAACCCCTCTTGAATGAAGCTTATAAGGTTCAACAATTAAAAGGTGGCTTTATGCAATGCAAACTAGATACTAACGTTGTTCTAAAGAAATGAACTTCAAACTTTCAAGCCAGTCTCGTTTATACCTACACAGTAGGTTGAATGGACTGACGCCTATCAGAAAACAACAACTCACCTGGCTAATACCAGGAAGGGCGTTGGATTATATCCGACAGGCGTCAGTGTAGGAATCTTCACAGAAAATTCCCTGCATATGCAATTGGCAATACAACTGAAAGAGTCGACCTACAATTTTGGAACGGGCACACTTGCAGACCGGTTTTGGGCTCGTTAGCCACTCATCAGTGCAAGATAGTGGCCATCATCGACCTAAAGTAAAGTCGGTTGTCGAGAGGTCAGTAGGGAAACAAGGTATGTACGAGGCCACTTCAAGGTCGCGCGTCATCGGTAAGTGTTTCACAGAGGGAGTGGGAGGGAGACACGTGTGACGTAATCGATGCAGAGGAGGATGGATCGAGTATCGGAGAGATTCAAAGATAAGAGCGTGGAATTGGGCTTCCTTGGGACTTTGCTTTACCGTTCGAGCCTTCTTAGGACTTTACCCCTGAGCCCCCTCGTTGTGCACCAGTCAGTAATTTTGCAGCTGAGGGAAATTAAATTTAAAATAAAAGATTGGTATGAGAATTGAACCCAGGTCGTCGGCGTGGTAGGCTTTGTCCTTAGCTTCGACACCAATGGGAGATGTTGAACATGAACGTGAACTAATGATAGTGATGACGGATGTTTTGTCGGCTGTCATCGGTAATTCAGAGTGATGAATGAATAATCAGATCGAAGACAAAAACATGGTGGCAATGTAACAGACATTAAGTGGAGTATACAGTGTGCGTCAAAATTACATCTTTCAAGGAAAGAACATGGCAGTTTAACTTCAACAGAACTTCGACGAACGGACCTCTTCTGTCAACTGGTGCCGGCTGCTGCTGATACAGTTTTCGGTCACGATAGGATTCTGCTGTGATGTTTTGGCCTGGTTGTAGAAAGATATAGAAAGACATAGAAATCATAGCCTAAGACTGTTGAAGTTCTCGTGTGAAGGTGGCGATATGTGTTTTGTTAAAGTTTATAGTAAGCTCGTTTGAGTCGCACCAGCTCTCTATCTTTTCCATATCTTCCATGGCATCTTGAGCTAGTTCTATGAGATCTTTACCCTGCCACAGCAACTTGGAGTGGGTTTCTTGTCTGAAAAGTGTCTCACTACAACTTTTCCACCTGATTGAAAATTTCTTTGTATTCCTCCGAAATTAGCAATCGGGCTCTGAACCTTCAAATTATTATTAATTTTTTGAAAAGGGCGAAGGGGATTTAGACGGTTTCCAATATTTCTGCCAAAGATCATCTTCAACGGAGTAATTTCCCTCGAACTATCTTCAGCAACTCGATAGTCGAAAACATATTTTTCCAAAAACATTTTTTTTCTTTCGTTTTCTTTCGTTTCTGAATGGCGTTTTTTAGTTTTCATGCAAATTTTGGTACAACCGTTGCTTTGAGCGTGATGAGGCGGAGAAAATAAATGTTTTGATACCATTCATTGGTGAAAATATTTGAAATTTCTACCAATGGAGGGGCATCATGGGGAACCAAAACATCTGGAAATCCAAAATGAGAAAATAAAAGCTTTTACTTCATCATGACTGATTTTTTATTTGGAAAATTTCAAGCTGTTTTGTATGTGAATCAGTAACGATAAAATGTCATTCAATGATAGAGTTTATTGAAAGTTGTGGGGCCGTAACGAAAGCAGACCGAAAAAATTCTCTAAATCATCAATCAAGATTTGGAAAAAGGAAACGGGTAGTCCAGGAGTCCCTAACTAGGAATTTCATCAGATTTGCCTAACGCGATCCTTAAATTAGAAACTGAATAAGTTTTTATTAGCCAAACAATCTGACACTCCAGAAAGTTCACAAAATCCGTTACACGGAAAAATAAAACGACATTTTCTCTCAGCGGTCTGAGCGTAACCATCCACCTTTCGTGGGAAATAGTATGCAAATGTTGTGTAACGACTTTATAATCGCTGATTACCTTTTGATATAGAGGCGGACAATGTTTATGTGAACGTGTGATGGTGGTCATGCGAAATGAGTCGTAAATTACGGCTTGATGTGGTTTATTATTTCTGAGGCCTGTTTCGTTTTTCACCCAACTGGTTTGCCCTTTTTGTGGAAGCTCGTTATTTATGGATGGAGTTGTTCTACTGACTCGCCATATTGATTTATACTACACGATTTCCGTGATGGATAGTGATCGATAGTGAATGGAGAGCGACCAAAAACGTATTTCATAACATTTGATAGTGAGATTCTGATAAAAACATTATACCAAATCATCTAGAACAGAGATTCTCAAACTCATTTTGTCTACCTCCCACGAGGATGTGAAAATAAGACTTTCTGATGAGAGTAATGTAAAACACCATATTGTAATATTAGGAAAACTTTTATTTATGTTATTAAAACAAACATTTCAATTCGAATTTTAAAACTAATCTAATGTAAAGGATGAATTCGATGATTTTTAACAAATTTCTTAATATCAGATTCAAATTTACTCAAAAACAGCCGTAAGTCACCGCGTTCGGTAATCTGCAACCGATTTCTCTTTTTAGTTAGCAACGTTGCCACAGCACTAAATCCACGTTCACATGAATACGATGATGAGAATGCTATTAAAAATCGTTGAACGATTGGCTTTTGCTACCCGAAATTCTTGGTATCCGTTAATTTTATTTTCATTTCCTCGTTCGGTATCAGTTCTATGAGTTCTTCTTCCAGCTGCGGTGATCCTGCTGTGTTGACATTTGAAACAGATCCAACACCTAGTCTAGTATTTCCAATTTTAAAATGTGCTGGAATCGTTCTGCGAAATCACTGTGGAGGTTCTCCAATTGTTGGCAGTGAACAAGCAAGTCGTCGTTGTTGAAATATACTGCTGACAACTTAGGGAAATTGCGAAACTCACGTCTGCGGATATTATTCTGTATATCACTTCTGTATGAAATAGCAATCAGTTGAAATTTTCATCATAAGCAACACAAAGCTGTTT